CCCATTGGTTTCCTTCGCAAGATCACTGCCTTAATTTACGAGGCCTGAGTGAGCCTCATTTCCCCAGCGCACGTTGAGTAATTAACTATTAATAAAAGCATTACTGAGTTAACCACGGGGGCATGTTTAATTCATGGGGCAGCCCGGAACAGGATGGTGGCAAGGCTCAGTGGGGGATTCCTCCTAGGGCCGAAAGATAGCAGCAGGGTCCCTGCCTTGCTGGACCTCAGCCCCCTGTGGTGGGCCATTACTGCTGTCCCTAGGCAGAGGGGCCTAATTGGCAGGAGGGCATCAAAACTGCCTGGCATCCCTCCCAGAGGGTGGCAGTGCTGGGGAGAAGATGTGGAGCTCCAGGGGAAAGGGCTCCTTCTTGAGTGGCCAGGGTGAGAGAGTGACCTTGGGCAAGCAGACAAACCTCTCTCAGTCTGTTTTTGTTATTGTTGTTGTTTTTATTTTTGCTTTTTGAAGTCTGGAAACAGGGCTGTAAATAACAACCGTTTCCAGAGCGCAGGCTAACAGTCCAAGACAGCACAGACGGGCAAGTGACAAAGCTTTTGTATGCGAGGCTCTTCAGGACCTGCGAGTGAACACGGCTGGGCTAACAGTGAGGGAGGGAGACACCTGCTCCTTGAGGAGGACAAGATGGACAATCCTGGTCAGAATGCCTTCTGGGTCCATGGGCTTCTCAGAAACAAGCCAGTCAGTCCCCACTCCCTTTCCTGTGCACCTCCAGCTGGCAACAGTGAACTTGATCTCAAAGGCCGGGCACATCCAGGTGCTCACCCACCTCTGCCTTCGTCTTCTGTGTGCTCGGCTTTTATTCTGTCCCAGGGAGCTCCCATGGTGTTCTGAAGGCTAAGTTCAAAAGGCCAGGTCTCAAAATGGCTTTCCTATCCCAGATGGGTCCAGACAACTGGTCATGCCCTTCTCTGTTTTCCACCCTACTACTTATCCCCTTACTCATCATCTATCCATTCACCTGCCAATCTCTGCATCCATCTATACGTATACCTACATACCTATCTATGCATCCATCCATCCATCCATCCATCCATCCATCCATCCATCCATCCATCCACGTACTCATCCATGCATCCATCCATCCATCTACTCATTTCCTTATCCATCCATCCATCCATCCATCCATCCATCCATCCATCCATCCATCTATCTATCTATCATCTATCTGTCTTCTATCCACCTATCCATGCACCAATCTAATAATCCATCCACCCACTTATCCATCAATCCATTTGCCCATGTCCTCATCTGTCCATTCCTCTACTTATCCATTTATTTACTCATCTGTTTACCCACCCACCCATCTCTCATTCACCCACCCACCCACACACCCATTTCAACCATCCATCCCCCATCCATCTATGCACCCAACCACCCAGCCATCATATTTCCTGAATGCCTTTCGTGTCTATCTCACTGCAACTCTGGACAAACTGGGCTGTCCCCAAATCAGCAGTTCCTACCGTTTTGCGAGTTAAGAGCACAATACCTAAAACAAACAAACAAACAAACAAACAAACAAACAACACATGCACATCCATGCCAGATGCTGCTCTCCTCTGCAGAGATTCTTGGTGGTCCTGAGGACGGGGACACCATGATACAGTGGGGAACTGTCTTGAAGAAAATTGCCTACCAGAAGTCATGCCGGGGCGGGCCCACCACCAGTGACTGAGCACCAGGTAAAGGTGCTTCTCCCTCAGGGTAGCTCTGATGGGCCCTCAGCTCTGGTGCCTAGGCCCCAGCACTGCCTTGCTACTTCATGGTCAAGTTGCCAAGTCCCCCCTCCCCTCCCCTGCCCTGGGGCCACTTTCTAGTAGACTTCCATGTCTCTCAATGGGCTTTGCAGATGGGCCACTGGGTTCCGAGAGGGCACGGTGGATGTTTTAATGACTTCCAGTCTCCATGGCTCACACCAGGCAGGCGCCTGCAGATGCTCCAGAAACATTTCCTGAATGTATTCTGATGAATTTCCTTGTCCCCAACAGGAGGGTTCTCCTCAGACAGTAAGAGAAAGGGATGGCCCTGCCACCAGATGCCAGGGCCTGGGGGTTGCTGGCCTGCTTCAGGGAAATGTACTAGGTTGCCAACGAAACTGTAAATAACCATGGGAACAGCAGTCAAGTTCATTGGTTGCTCTGAAGCTGGGGGAAGGGGCCTGGCTGATGTCAGGGCTGTGGCTAGGGGGCAGGCAGAGGCTGGACTGGCACTCACTGCTGGTGGTGGGGGATGGGAACCTGCCCATCTTACTGAGCAAATCATTTCAAAATTACAACTAGCACCACCCCTTCACACTCTATTTCTAAAAACATTTTTGTAACAGCTAGGGAGGGGCGCATGTGAGTAACACAACACACTTGTTGTGGTCAGAGGACAATCTGTGGAACTGGTTGTCTCATTTCACTGTGTGGGGCCCAGGGATCAAACTCATGGTTAGGGACTGGTGACCTGAGCCACCCCCCCTTTTTTTGTTCAGAGCCATCTCTCCACTACTGGAAACTCCTCCATGAAACAAACACTCATTAAGAGGCTCCTATGTACAACCACTAAATGTTGGGGCTCCAATGCTGGCTGCTCCTCTCCCTTGTCACCTGGGTAGATTGTGACATCTGAAATCTAGAATGGCCATGTGCCAACATTGCCAGTAGATTTCCATGCATCCCTTATCTTCCCAGTTGCTCAGGCGACAGAAGTATTCCGATTATGGGTGAAGACCCAGGCTCAGGGGATCAGCAGCATGCACACGGCCACCCAGCCCACTGTGGCAGAGGAAAATAGATGACTTCTAGATCCTTGGCTTCTGTGAGGTTAGTTCCACAGCCAGGATGAAATGGGTCCACAAATTCTAGCTGTACTGGGCCACTTGGGATTAAATAATCCACATGAAGGGCCAGGGAGTGGCCCTTCTGCCCTGTGCTCCCCACCTCTTCTTTCCCCGGGGCTAGAAGGACTATGACTCTACCTTCAAGTCTAGCAGTCTAGCAGTCTGCCACGTGGCCAACATTTCCTGGATGGCTCACCTTGGAAGGCTGATCCAGGAGTCCCCACCCTCAGGTCTTTGGACTATGCCAATTCATGATACCTAAGATCCTTGCAGGTACCATGGGGCGAATTCTCCTGGTCCCAGGCAACCCCTCTTAGGCCACTGGGGTTTTTACAGAGCAAGAAGCAATGAGGATGCTACCCTGAGCCCCTAAGGTAGAGAGGGTACCAGAATGAAGATGCAGATATACCAGGCTCTCAGCAAACCCCTGGCTTGTTTTTGTCCACACACCAACCACAAGCATCCTAGTATATTGGGGTCATCAACCTTCCTCCCACTGTGGGCTCCTGGGAGAGGTGGTGGACATGTAAGCACTTAAAACTCAGACCTAGGTCAGCCTTCCTCTTCCGCTGCTGCAGCAGCCTTGGAGCTGGGGACAAACAGTACAGCCTCAGAGACCAGTCACATCCTCAGCTTCCCTCAACCTGGGCAAACGCTGAGTTACCATGGTGACGCTGCAGCCCCCAAGATGCAGTGGTTGCAGACAGCATGGGTAGTTGGAGGGCTCAGGGCTGAGGGTGGACAGTCTAGACCAGGAGGCCAGGCAGCTGGGTGGGCTGGGTGGGGGAGGAGGGAAGGGAGGCCTCCTCTAGGCCTGGCTGGTAATTGCTGCTAAGTGAGGGGCTGTCATTGAACCCAACATGTGAGCGGTGAGGGCCCACTCCACACCCTGTAATTACTGCACCAGACAGCGGTGCCAGCTTGTGGCCTGGAGAGGGGGGCGGTGCAAAGTAGACAGGAAGCTCTCATCCACCTGAGCCAGCGGGCTGCAAGGCCCTCTCTCTCATCGAAGGCAGTCTCCCCAGCTCCCCCTCCCCCGCTCCACCCCCCTGCCTGGTTCTTCCCACATCACTGGGCTGGAACAAGAGCGTTCTGTAATCTTGACCTCCGAGCTTACAGAACCCAAGGCGAGCTTGCAGAACCCAAGGCGGGCCAGGAGCCAGATAAGGTAGCGCTCTGGAGTGCTGTGATGGGCAGGGACTCAAAGCTGATCACAGTCCCAGGCCCTTTAAAGGCCTCAGGCAGTCATTACTGTTCCTGGGCCTCAGTCTCCTCGACAGACTCTCAATCCACAGGGATCCCTCTCCAGCAGGGGTGGGCAAGAATTCACTTTTGGAAACCAGATTTCACTGGGAGGTAGCCACGCCCCTTTGTGTCTGTGCCATGCAAGGCTTCCTTCCTGCTTCAAGTTGCAACAGACACCATATGGTCCTCAATGGAAATATTTACTATCTGTCCCTTCCAGAAGTCTGTGGTCCATGCGTTCTGGGCATAACCAATGGAGATCTACCCGCTCCAGCTCTACACAGAGCCCCTTCTGGGTCTTTGCCCAAAGCTACACAGATGCCACCGCCGTCAGGCACCCTCTGCTGCCAGGGTTTGGGCAGGGGTGGCAGCAGGCAGGGCTGGAGCCATACTGTGGGCCAATGGCGCCACCTGCTGTGAGTGTCTGAAGCATTTCTACAGGAACGCCTCCTGGGCCAGCAGAGGAGACCAGCTCCACCAGGAAGGTACAACCATCGGGCGCCAAGGCCAAGCCACAGGAGGGCTCAGCCCCACAGCAGGGCCCTTTTGTCTTCCACTGGACTGTGGTCTAGAGAAGTGCACAACTTGGCCCACAATCCAGAACCGAGTCCCTTCTCACACATAGCAGCCTTGAATCCTTGCCCAGCAGCTCAGGAAATTCTTTCTTTTCTAGGTCTTGGTCTCTTGGTTCTTGACAGTATTTTAGGAATACATACATAATATTTAATCTGTAACATTCTCCAGAAAGCCTGGGATAGGTGACATCCTCTTTTCTTCTTTTTCTTTTTTTTAAACAGATACACAACCTACAGCACAGAGGAACTAAGTCACCCACGTAAGAGTCACACAATGAGTACACAACAGAGCCAGGATGCAAATCTAGGCTGTGAAACTAGTCTCCACAAGACGGTACTGAGCAAACACCCATTTATTTCTGGTGGTGGGTCCATAGTGTGGCCCCAAGGATGCGGTCTGGGGCACAAACAGAGGCATGAGCTACAGAGGGCATGAGAAGGAGAGGCCAGGCCCGGGGCTCTCCTTGCTCTCCTGCCTCAGGCAACACTGCGCAGTACAGAAGGAAATCATTACTTCAACTATAAATAAATCTACTCTCTGTGGAAGCCACTGTCCAGGTGATGAGGCCCAGCCTCTCCACGACTCCTTCCCAGATGCCCTGCAGTCCAAACCCAGGAAGAGAAACCACCACACACCTGAAGTTCATCCTGGCTCTTGGAGCCAGAGCAACAGTGGAGAAGAGGTCACTGGCCCCCTTCACTGCTACACTGCGTCCAGGGTGAGCCTGGCACTCCTTTTTGGACCACCCTCCACAGGAAAGACAGGAGTCCCCCTCCAGTCACGGTCCTACAGGTGACTCTGAAGCCAACACTTATAGCTGCTCTGAGGAACCAGCTGAGCCCCCAGGCCACACCAAGAGTCACCAGCAGCGCTGACTGTAGAGTGGCCTGTTTCCGCTGCTCCTGGGCTGGTCACTGTTGCCCCTGGGTGACAAAATACTCATCGTCATCGTCTTCCTCCTTCTGGCTGTTCCGGAGCAGCAGCTCCAGGTCAGGGCTGGGGCCTAGGCCCTTCGAGAGCTTAGGGTCACCATCACCTTGGGGGTAGACACACCACAGTCACTAACCTAGCAACCTTCTCTAGAGATGATCCTATACCTTCCCAGGGTGCCAGCGCCATGCAGCACACGTCCCGAGCTACAGCGACAGTGGGTGAGAGGCAGCTGGATGGCGGGCGGGACAGTCAGTACTACTAAGCCATGGGAAGGAGGCCACCATACCTCTGGAATGCAGGGCCTTGAGGGCCACATGCAGGGAGATGCCAGAGAGGCAGAGGGCAAAGCCCAGCCAGTTCAGGAGGCTGATCTGGTCACCCAGCAGGTGAGCTGCCAACAGCAGTGTGCAGACTTCCTGTGGGCAGAGGCAGGACATGGAGTCAGAAGCTGGCATGACGGGATGACTCATAGGGCAGAAGTGGGAACCTCTCTGCTCAGATCATCGGCCTGCAGGCCTCCCAGTGTTACTGAGATGCAGGTGCACAGGGGCTTTCCATAGACTCTCAGCAAAAGCAGAAAGCCATCGAGCCCCAGAGGATGACACAGGCGTCCCACAGGGAGTCTGCCACTGCTAGGCACCCATAGCTGGACAGACAACCGCCAGCATGGCGGTGGTGAGACAGGCCTCTCTTCATCATAGGCAGAGGACCCTGACACCCAAAGGTTCACTTTGGGTGTCACTGCTCCAGCATGGGGTTACCTGTCCAGAGGGAAGCTCCTCCACAGATCTGACCTGTGTGCCCAGCTTTCAGTGATGGACTTTTCACTGATCAACCTAGACGAGGGCTCCAGGCCACTGCATATAACCACGCTGCAGTTAAGTGCAGTGCAGGCACACCCCAGGCCTGGTGGTGAGACCTGGTCTGCGTCTTCAGCTGTGTGCACTGGTTAGAAAGGACACTTCCTCAGCGCTGCAGGGGCAAGATCACATCACATCCAGGGCCACACTCTGCAGCCTCTTCTCCCGCCCTCTCCAGATGCAGAAACAGGGACAGAAGCTGCTAAGAAAAGCCCTCATGGGGCTCCTTCTAGGGTAGGTCTGGGGTCACTTCCCAGTGAGTACCTTAAAAATGCCAGCGATGGAGAGAGTGAGGCTAGATGTTCTGGAGACCAGGAGAAACTCAGAGAAGCCTAAGCCAAAGGCCAGAATCCCACCAAGGAGGAGGCTCCCAAGAACCCGCAGGAGCAGCCCTGTGTCCTGGAAGCGGAAGATTTTCTCTGAGGTGGACAAATGGAGACCTGAAACCAACAGAGAGAGAGAGAGAGAGAGAGAGAGAGAGAGAGGGGAGACAGGGCCTAGGCAGCCTGCTGGCCCTACTCAACAGCCTCTGTGCAATGGGGGCCTAGGCAGTCTGCTGGCCCTACTCAACAGCATCTGTGCTTCTTTAGCACAGAATGGAGGCCTGGTTTGCTGACTGTCTGAGGTAGGAGAAACGATGTGTGTGTGTGTGTGTGTGTGTGTGTGTGTGTGTGTGTGTGTGTGTGTGTTCAAACAGTCCCACCCAGATGGCCTGAGACTCAGGGACCACAGTGGCACTATAGAACTCAGGGCAATACATGTCCATTATCAGAACAGGGAAGTACTGAACCTGTGGGATGCAGGACTTCTTTAGATTATGTGCATGCGTACATATATGCGTGTACGCTAGGCATATGCTCTACCACTGAGCTATACAGCCCAGCCCAAATTTAGGCCTTGCTACTACAAAGCTATGTACAGACCTGGGAGGAGCGATGTCTCCTTTCTGGTTACTGGTTCCCCTACTGAGAGAATGACAGGACTCTGACTAGATTGTCATTTCTCCAACAAGCAGTATAGTCTAATGAATAGATCTCAAAATGAAAAAGAAAAAAACTCAAAAAACTCCAGAGCGGAGTGTGGTGGTGCACACCTGTGACCCCACACCTGGGAGGTGGGGCGGATGACTGGCTCAAGTATCAGTTACATAGAAAGTTCAAGACCAGCCTGGGCTACACAAGACCCGACCCGACCCAACCCAACCCGACCCAACCACACATGTAAGTACAGGACAACGCTGAAGCCCCTTGCTTCAGGGAACACTGAACAACACATCAGTCTTTGCTTCAGTTTGGGGGAGCCGTGGCCCCTCCTTAAAGAGTTCCTGGGCTCTTCCCACAGCAAGGCCCCCACAGTGTATGTGTGGGGGGGAGGTCAGTATCCACTGGGCACAGTAGACACAGATGGGAGCTGAAGTGGACAAGAACTTTGGGGGTCGAGGAGGGGCAGGGGGCACAGAAATTTGACAACACTGTGCCCCATGCCAGGAGCCTGGCGATGCAGGCCATCTTGTTTGGTGCTGGGCTCAGCAGTACTGCAAAGGCAGTGGCAAATTGAGGAATCCGGGGAAGAGCAACATAAGTAATGAAGGCGCTTGGGGGATTAATTTACCAGAGAAGATTAAAGGAGCTAAATCCACGCAGCTTTGCTAAGTGGCGGCGACCAGGGGCTTTTGGATGAGGTTTGCAGAGCGGGGAACAGTGAGGACGCCTGGGGAGGGGGTGAGTGTGGTGTTTGCTACAAGGGGCATAATGAAGGAATGGGGAGAGATTTTAAAAAGGAAAAGCATGAAGCTCCACACACAAGTTTCCTGGACAACGGGGCTGCGGAATCATTTTCTCAGGGAGGCTGGAGACGCTTCGCTGCTTGAAACTTAAATGGATGTGGGATGGAATTTTCGGTAATGACCCTGAGGACAGTTGGGACTCTGAGAAGGAGGGTAAACAAGGGACAAAGACTAATCCCAAAGCACTGGAGGAAAGGAGGTGGTAACATCCTGCCCACTTGTACAACCCCCTGGCCTTGCCTCTTCTCTGGATGTGCCCAGGCTGTCCCCCAACCCCAGCTGTGGGAGCTGCCACTCTGCCCATGCTCCCCGAGCACACACAGCAGAGCCTCCGGTCCCTGCTTCCCAGGGTGTCCTGGTATCATCAATCCATACACCCACCACTCATTCTCCACCATTCCCCTTTCTGACCCAAGTACTCCACCCGGGGCAGACCCCGACTCTGCTCCTGGGGGCATGTGTACCATGTGACAGTGGGCCAAGCCTCCTGATGCCAGGCTGCTGGGCACCAAGTCTGGTTTGCTTATGAGCTATGGGACTTTGGGCATGCTTTCACCTCCTCGGTTCCTCAGTTTCTTCCTTTTGCCAAATAAGGACGGAAACAATCCTCCACATCTAGTTACTGGGGGAATGAAAAACTAGTGCATCAACAGTTCCACTACCTCTGGAGCTGTCCACACCCTCTGCACTGACTCCTTTATTTCACACATAACTTCTGTGCACCCTTGTCATGAGATTCTAGTCATTCTGTGTGTGTCTGTCCAGTCCCAAACCACAGCAGCTGGGGAGGGACTGAGTTCTAGATCTGGGCAACCTCTGTGGCTAGCACTGTGCTGAGCCCAGAGCAGTAATGTGGGTTCTGCTGTACTACAGTGTTCAGAGGTAGAAGACAGAGCGTACCTTCAAATATGGCAAAGAGAGGGAAGAGGCCCAGGAACATGAGCGGCTGCAGGTGGAACATGGTGTCAATGGGGTTCTGAAGGCCTGCAGAACAGGACATGGGGAGCTGTCAGACCTGGCCTGCTGGCCTATGTCTGCCCGACCCCCACCCCTCGCCAGGGGCTCACCCAGATCAGCTTTCTGCAGAAGCATTTGTGTGAGGGTCCAGCGGATGCCGCCGATGAATGAAGCTCCCAGCACCAAGGCAAAGCCCTCCACGTTGAACTGTGTGGACTTATAGGTAAACATGAAGAGGCCCCCAGCAATGAGAAGGACCACCAGGACCAGGGCTGCACGCTAGGAGAGGAACAGTATGGCTCACTGGGAGCTTGGGGTTCAAACCACACCCTAGGAGGGGAACAGTATGGCTCACTGGGAGCTTGGGGTTCAAGCCACACCCTAGGAGGAGAACAGTGCGGCTCACTGGGAGCTTGGGGTTCAAGCCACACCCTAGGAGGAGAACAGTGCGGCTCACTGGGAGCTCTGGGCTCAAGCATGTGCCATATCTGAAGCTGGGGAAGTGAAGCTGTTCTGTGCCTCTTCACTTCCAGAGGTCCTGGCCTACTGACAGACACAAGGCTACATACAGCTGGCATGTTTCTAGTATCATACTTATTTTGAAATTCTGAAGTGCTGGTGCCCATTCCAGACTCTAAGTGCCCCCCGCCAAAAACAAAAACCACCAAATGGCTCCAAGGGAACCCCAGGGCCCCAGGCCAACGCTGGCCCTCCTGCACTTGTTTCTAGCCCTTCTGCCATTCACCCGTTTCTAGGTCCCCTCCCCAAGAAAGGCATTTCAGAGACCCAGGCCAGCAATCTCCTGTCACAGAGTGACAAGTCACTGCTTAGATTTCCTCTTCCATCCCGGGCATCTGCAGTGACAGGAGGGAAGGGGACGCAGGGCCTCACCAGCTCCTCCAGCTTGAAGATCAGAGAAAAGATCAGGATGAACAGCACAGCAGACGATTTGGTCATTGTGTACCTGGAACAGAGATACCCACAATGCACGGCTGCAGACCCCCACCCGAGGGCAAGCAGGCCCCAAAGAGCAAAAGCAGCCAGCCAGTGGGGTCTGTGCAGACATGCGAGCTTTCATGGGAAGAAGTCTCTAAGAGGCCTGACGGTCACTGGGAGAGGAGCAGCGGGTGTGACACCGAGTTTACTGAGTTCTGTTCTTTACCTGGCTATATTGGCAGAGACCAGGTAAGAAGGATGAGAGAAGCTTAGACAAAGAGACATGAGGGACCGCACTCTCTGAAGCCAGGCATCAGAGCTGTGACTGCTGACCAGCTGGGTTCTGACAGGCAGTGCTCCACGGTCTGGTCCTCCACTCAGCTGCCTGCCGCCCCCATCCCCCATCCCCTATCCCACCCCACCAAGCAACTGTGGCTGCTCTGTCCAGTTCCCTGGCTTCCCCTGACTGCCTGGCAGGCAGGCGCAGCATCTCTCTCTGCACTGGGCTTCCGAAGAGCTGGAGGCTTCGTGGAGGGCTGCTGGGTGCCAGCAAGGAGCTGAGGGAGAGCGAGGGCTGGTCCCCGAGACTGATGGAGTAGTTGGCCCGCTGCTGGCTCTACAGACTGCCAGCTGGACGGAGCAAGTGAGCTTGGCCTGAGCGGCGGGCAGAGGGTGTGGCCAGTACTCACAGCGACACGGTGATGTAGAGAAAGCTCCAGTTGGACAAGCCCACATCCAGTGCTGTTGCCAGTGCTGTGGGGACAGGGGACACCCAGCCAGGGCAGCCGGTTGGCAAGCATGTGGCTGAGGCACCTGAGGCCCTGACTGCCCTTCCTTTCCACCAAGCAACTCCAGGTTGACATCCGGCCCAAACAGCCCATCCTGATTGGCCAGGCCTGTCGGTCTCCTCTGTGAATTTCAACAGCTCCAGACAAGAGCATAAACCTGACCCAGTCAAACTGCTATGGGGCACCTGGCCCTCCACAGCAGTGCGGCCTGCCGACCCCCCCTCCTCCCTCACCATTAGAGTTCTTCCTTTCTAACTTCACACTCCCAGGGCCAGAGGTTCCCATCCGCCCTTGAGGTCTTGCCCACTCAAGACTAGTCCTGGGAAATCTTTTAGCCCAACCTGGTGTGGCCACTACCGTGAGGCTCCCGTTTTGCACCTGGTGGAGCCCACTGAAGCCCACGTGAGCCAGCGAGGACGGGGGCGCTGCCTGCTTTGCTGAGATGCACCAGCGGGAGAGGGGTGAGGAGGAAAGGTAGGGTGTGGCCTCAAGGCCACAGGGCTCCTCTGATTTCTAGCCTAGGCTCTCCAGCAGCCCTCCGCATGCTGGACCTACCTGTGGGGGCCACTCTTCTGAGGTAGTCAGTCCAGCTGAGCACCACTCGGGCCCTGTGGCTGGAACACTGAACCAGCGCCCTGGACAGGGCCGAGAAGAGGAAGATCACGGCCAGGTGCAGCATGGTCATGAAGAGGGGAAAGTGGAAGCTCTGTGGGGCCGGAAGCAGACAGCAGGCGTGGAGAGATGCCCCACAGCCCCTCCATCTCCTCCCTGTGGTGGCAGGGTCCAACCCAGTGCCTCCCCGCTCCCTGACGTCAGGGGCCAAGCCAGTGCTCTACATCGGGGACTCAGCCACACAGTGACTCCTTGGAACCCCAGTGTGGAGGTCACACAGAGAAGTGGCAGCCCAGGGGCTCAATCCCTGCCGAGTTTCATCACAACCTGCTGGTCACCTGCTTAGCCCTCTCAGGGCCAATGTCCAGGAAAAGCCACCATCACCCAACACAACTGTACCAACTCCAGCACCTTCGGGCCAGCCCTGTACTGGTGAGGCCGTTACCTTTGTCAGCCATTTGTTGTAGAAGGTGATGCCTATGGAGAAGCAGTAGTAGAGCAGGACCAGGCCCAGCGTCAGCACGGCCTTCCACACAAAGGCTACGTCAAGGGCCCACCTCCCCATCCGTGGGCCAGCAGGAACAGGAGCCGCTCTTGAAGATGGTTGGCGGGAAGACGCAGCAGAGCTGGACCACGGTTCTCAAAGGACAGTTCCCCTAACTGGAAGGGTCCTCTTCACCTCCATGGTGAGGAATGTGCACTGGGCCCCAGATGGAGTCCTCACCTAAGGGGCTGGTGGCCAGAGCCAAACTGTTCCATGGCTAGCTGGATACACAGGTCACAGATCCCCAGCTCTGCTGCTGGAAAGAAGGAAAGGAGGGTCTGGCCACAGTGAGACTGCAGAGGCAATGGGTGCTACCCCAGTACAGTGGACATTCGCACTGTCCTCCACGGGTCCCCACTAAAGTGACCTTTCAACAGATAAGTGTGGTCATGTCAGATCTTGTTTTAACCCTTCAGCGGCTCCTAGTTCCCTTCACAAAGGCCGAAGCTGCCTGCAGTTCTGAGGTCTGACCTGGTCTAGCCTGTCTCTGCCAATCTGCCCCCGGCACACAAGGGATGGAGGGGGTGCTACACCCAAGCCACCCTTCCCTCCTTCCTCAGTACAGACTCTCTCCCTCAGGGACCTATCTACAAGCTACCACTGCTCTCCTACTTTCCTTTTGTAGCAACTGAGAGAAGTGTGATCTGAGTAGACCTCTTTCTTCTCAGTGCTGTAGACAGAACCCAGGGCCTCATGCTAGGGACCAGGCTACCATTGAGCCACGCCGCCATCCCCTTGAGTAATGCTGCTGTTCCTGGAAGGTTGCACTCCACAAGGGCTCACACACACCTGGCACTCTCTATGTTCTCATTTGGTCTGGTGACCCCATGACAGAGTGTGTGTGGATGAGATTTCAGGGGACTTAGGTCTTGAGGAGCTAAAGTGGACCAGGTGTACCTTGTCCTGGTCTCTAACAGCTACTCCCAGAGAGGAGGTGCCCGCCAAACCAAACTACCATTTGTTATGAGTGCCCAGGGCAAGCCTGGCTCAGGGAACACTGGGGACCTGGCTCTGCCTGGTGAGCCTTGGCCCACTGTTAGGTGGACTACAGTGTTTCCTCTCCACCATGCTGAAATGCCAGCTCCTGTGGGAACCTTCCAGAATCATGCGATCAGACTTCTCCCCTACCAGTCTGGACAGTCCACTCTGCACTCTGGAACCTGTTATCACATCCCCTCCCTGATGGCAAACGGGGCTGGCTCTGGGCTTTGTCAAAAGGACTCCTGGACTGTGGCTATCTTCAGAGGAGTTTGGAACTCTGGGTGGTGTCCCAGAGGCAGCTCCAGGCATTCAGTGAGCAGGGACTACAGGCCCTACCCAAGGAGCTAAGAAGTGTTCTGCATTCCAAGCACCTCTGATATTCACAAAGGCAGGGGACTTGCTTCTGATTTCTGTAAACATAGTTTTCCGGAGCTCTACAATCCACTGAAATTGCTAAGAATTCCATGTATGCTGTCAAGGTGGAACCAAGAGTTCCCATTCTGGAAAACCCACTTTGTTGACAACAGCTCACATCTCTGGGGCTGCTGACATGTTAGCTGCGAGATGACCTTATGGTGGGCTCACTATTCTATAGCAAGAGGAACCCACCAGCGGCCTCACGGTGACTCCAGCACCACTGTGCCTGAAGTGACAGATGGAAACGTTTTATTTCACCCTCAACTACCTTCCTTTCGTACTATAGTTTGGGCACCACTAGTTTTTAGGTTAATGAACAGGCTGTGATTAGACATGGTGGGTCAGGGGAGAGTTACTGCCCTACTGGTCTAATGCAGTCTTGCATCTTGACATGCTTTCTGCAGGCTAACATTTCCCCAGCATGCAGCCTGGTCCGGTCCCCGTGAGCCCCTAGAAGCAGATCCAAATGCTGACCTGACCTATTCACCTGGGCCACTAATCTTAGGCTCTTGTTTGCACTGCTAGACAGTTTGGGACACAGGCTCAAGGTCCACATTCTCTCAATGCTCAGGCTCCGAAGCCTGGCACTACTGAACCTTTCTGGGAGGAGTCAGTCCTCTGTCCTGTAATCCATTAGCAAATCCCTGTCTCTACCCACGGGATGCCAGAAAGTATTATGTCCCCAACCCCAAGGTGTAACACCCAGACTGTCCAGAAGGTATGTACCTTGCAGTGCTGGCCTAGCATGTGGAGGGCCTGGGTTGAGTCTCCAACACTGCAGGAAACACACTATGTTCCCTGTGAACAATGCTTTCCCTACCCAGGCAGTGGCGGAGCATGTCACATGCCAGGACAGCCTGTTCCCTTTTCTTTCAACTGACTGGCCTGCCTACTTCTGCTCAGTTCCTACTTGGTCACTATGGTGCTCTCTGTCCACTTTCAAACCCGCCTTTTCCTTCTGAGAGCTTGTTTAGCTCCCCACCTTCAGGGAGCACCATGTGTCCGCAAACACAAGGCCAAGCCTCAGCTGGAAAGGCCCCCAGGAAGCACACAGACATTCACTCCATGTGTTATCATTAAGCGGTGGCTTGCCTCTCACTGGATATACAAACGGCTAAGGTCCTCCTCCCTCACTCTGTGGTAAGGGAGAGCAACTATGCAATTGCATCTGCCCAAGGAATTCTGTCTCCCTTTTCTCAAGAAACAGCAGCTACCTCAGAGCAGGGCGGGGCAACGCTGTAGCACCTGGCTACCCTCCACCACTTCAGCTGTAACATGGGTTGTGTAGCTTAGTGCTTCAAAGCATGGGCTCTAACACCCAAGACCTGTGAGTAAACCCTCTGTGTCCACCTACTACTGAGATTCCAAGTGACCTGGCCTGTGTGGACTGTTTCTCTAACCATGTGCAGGGTGTCCTTGGCATGGGAAGCAGCATTTGACACTGACTCACGGTCACCTCCTACAGCACAGCTTTCCAGTGTCAGCCCCAGGCCCTCACCTCAGTCTGTCAGGCTGTTCACACGGGCCACCACTACCCTTTCCCTCTTCGGGGCCAAGTTTCTGTGGCTCCCTCTTGAAACTGGCCACTTCCTCCTCGGAGACCTACTGGGCGAAACTTGTCAAACTCTGGAGTCCTCTGCAACTCAGTCAGTCAGAACTGGTCCCTGAGGGGTGGAACCCAGCTCCTTTTCTGCCTTCATTCCCATCCCACCATGACACCCCAATCTTCCTGTGAGGACAGAGGGACCTAACTGCCATTTAGGTAGCTCCAATTGACAGCTCAACCTCAAGGTGCCCCAAGGAGCCATCTTAATATTCCTTAGGTCTCCACCCTACTCTGAAGTCACTTAGGACAGTCATCCTGACAACCGTTCACTTCGGCCAATGAAATCATCGCTGTCCCCTGCATTCCTCACCCCCTGCCCTGTCAAGTCCACCTCTAGTTATTTGTTGATCCATCCATTTCTCTTCCCTTCTCCACCACCGCAGTCTAAGCCACAGTAACCTTTCACCTACTGCCCGCACTTCAGAAAGAGCGGGAGGCTGGTGCTGTGGTTAGTGGTGTCAACCTGACACCGTCTACAGTCACCTGGGAGAGGGGCCTTGGAGCACATCAGTAAGAGATTCTCTAGATCCGGTTAACTCATGTGAGGAGACCCATCTAGTCGTGGGCAGGGCCTCCCAGACTGCATAACGATGGGGAAGGGACATGAGCGCGCATTCACAGCTCTCTGCTTCCGGGCTGTGGATGCGATGTGACCAGCTGTTTCAGCTCTTGCCGCCCTGACTCCCCCACGATGGACTGCACACGGAACTGCGGGGAAAGTTCAGCCCTTCCTTCCTGAAGTTGCTTTTGTCAGAGTACGCTACCACAGCGACAGGGAAAGACGAAGACATTCGGCTTCAACAGACTGCAGACCCGGGGCTGGGTCCCCAAGTCCTCCTAGGACCCCGCCTGCCAGAGCCCTGCAACCTCACGCTCAGCCGGTGTCCCCGGCTACCTGATGCTCTCTGCTGCTGGCCCCTTCCCCCAGGGCCCCCACTGCGCGTGGCACTTCCCACCGCGTGACGTCTGTGTTTGCTCACGTGTCACTGCCCCGCCAGCCCGGCAGCGTCCATCTGGTTCCCCCAAGACTCGGCCCCTCGTAAATGATTGGTGAATGCCAGGCGAACGGGCCCACGGCCAAGTGAGGGCTGGGGAAACTGAGGACCAGGCCGGGAAGGAGCGCAAGGGTCCCGCCCACCACGCTCAAACTTACCTCCGCCTAGGCGCTCGCCCCGGAGACTCCTGCCGGAAGCGCGAGCTGGGCACTGGGCAGCTGGAGGAGAGACTTCCGCCGGAAGCCGGCGATGGTGGGTGGGGCCAGAGCATTTTTCTCTAGCTAAGCCGGCCACAGCAGGCCGTGCAACCCGGTCTGTGTCCCTAAACTGGCGTGCCAGGACTGAATCACATATACTAGTAACTCTCGTTTGCTTTTTTCCTTCTGGGACCTCAAGCAGCTGGGAAATGATTAAATTTTAGAAATGTAGGAAGTCTGGTCAAAGTAATAACGGACACTTGAGAAATTACATATACCTATACACTTGTGAGAATTATTCAATAGGTTGAGTAGGTAAAAATCATCCCAGAGGAAATGGAACCCAGAAGGAAGGGGTGTAGTCTTACTGGGAGCCCAGGAAAGCGGGTTGCAGTGATTTCAGGACGCCAATCTAGCACAACCAGATTCGATTCATTTTAGGTGCAGGGCATGTGGGCAAGAGAACCTCTAAGCCACGCAAGCTAGGGCTGCAGACCCGAGCCGGCCCAGTTCTCTGCTTTTGCTCTTTTGGGCTCTGTACTAGGACTGGCTGCAAACAGGGATCCTTGCACATGACTTGGCTGGGCTCCTGGCTCCTAGCAGAAGGCTCAAGGCCAGAGTGTAAGCTGTGCTTTGTGCACAGTGCTGCTGTAGGCCGCTGCCAGCTGGCATCCCGCAAGCATTAGTTCATTCAATGCTTCCTAGGACCTACAATGGTACCCATCGCAGCCCAAGGTCTTGGCTTCATTCAGCCCTCAAGGCCTGTGTTGCATGCACTTTCTATGCCTTCTGAAAGCGCCTGTCCTCACCCCCTTCCGACAGTGGCAAGAGGAAGTATCTATTTTCATCACTGCCCTCATTCAAGCCTCCCAGCTACCAAGGCTGCTGATGGGAGCAACAGCTTAAAACACCAGCTGGAAGGCTGGGCACCGAGTACAGGCAGCACACCGGGTCCAGAACATGTCTTCTTTGAAAGGCACAAGTACTCGAGCTGTTCCCTGGCTGTGTCCCTGGCAGGGAAAAGAGGGAGGAGGGGATCTTGGGGGTGTACAGTATGCCTTTCCACGTTGTACCCAGCAGGGCTGAGCAGGAAACACGCTGTCCTGGTACCACAATCTGTGAGCTTCCTTCGCCAGCAGGTGTGAGTAGTCTGTGCATGACACAGTGGGATAGATGAGGAGGGGAGAGGAAGGGCTCCCGGAAGGTGGCTGGGAGCCCTCCAGAAGCTCCCAGGCACAATGGAATGAAGGTGTCAGGTGACTCCCTACCCTTGGGGCAGGGAGCAAGTGCAGAGGAACAGGTGTGTATAGGAAGCAGTCTACATGAAAGAGTATTTATTGAAAACACGGTCACTGACAGGAAGCTCCTGGCTGCTCTCTGGTTACAGTCGTAGCTCATGACTGCGAGCATTACATTTTTACTCTCAATTTTATCTTCCCTTAAACATTCTATCCTAGAATAGGATGATCTTATATAAATATATATACACGTCTGTATAAGTATGGCCTATAGTAAAGAAAATATATAGTACACTCTTCATTGGGTAGTACCACCATGCCAGGCTACCAGTACTGAATACCACCATGTTAACATGCGTCCAAGGAGAGAGGCTGTGCGTGTGCTTCAAGTGCTGCAGCACCAGAGAAGGCCCATGGCACAGCTGTGGCCCTAGCCGCTTCTTGAAATCATGGCTAATGGCAGAAACCACAGCGCCAGGAAGGAAAGACGGGGAAGGCGACCTGCCCCGAGCCAGGAGCCAGAGGGAAGCAAACAAAAGGGCCTGTCACTAAGGGCATGGGAGCAGTCTTCCTCAGCAAGGAAAAGATGGAAATGGAGGAGAGCTGGGGGCCTCAACCTGACTTTCCCTGCAGTGTTCCTGGAGCCTAAGAGAGCAGGACTCAGGCTGGAGGCTTCTACCTGGCCAGGATGAGACCCAGTGCTTGGGGAAGAGATTGCTACCTGTCCTGATTCCTACATGGGCAAGAGAGATGGATACCTCTAGAGACAGAGATGTAAGGGCCAACCCCGAGGCAGCAGCATCTTGGCACAGGATGAGGCTGGAATGAGCCCTCAGAGACCTACTAAGCAAAAGCACTCAGCCTGTCCTTGCCTGAGCCACCTGAAGACAGTCACTCCAAGGCTCTCACGATTCCCAGGACTCCAGTCCCCATGGGCAGCCTTTCCAGCATCTGCTCCAGCCCACATGAGTTCTCCAGAAAACCAGAATAGGCTCGGGAGGGGATGGCCGTCAGTAAGTCCGGTTCCAGGTGCAGACTCAGGGTGGGAGGCAGAGCATCTTGAGTTCACTCCTCCAGGCCCGACCCCAGGCTCTGTGGTGCTGAGGAGGGCGGCATGCCCTGACTTCGTGACTCCTAGTGAATGAGGACCAAGAGAAGCTCTGGGTCCCATTGGGTCTGAGGAGTAGTCACCACAATCACTATAGAGTCTGTACAAGTAGAAGGCAAGGCACAGGCTGCCAGTGTCTCTCCTGGGCCCCAGTTCCTTCTCGCTCATCCGTAGTGATAGACGAAGTCATAGCTGCTGGGCTCCTTGGGGACGGGTGGTGGTGCCTCGGGGATCTGGATGTTCTCCAAGTCCAGAAGCCGCAGCTTCATCTCCATGCTCAGCAGCGTGTCCAGGTCGCTCTTGGTGAGCTCACTGGACATGTCCTTCCCCAGGAGGGCGCTGAGTCCATCTATCCAGATGCAGTACTGTGGGCAAGTTGCAAATGTCACACAGTGGCCCCAAGGGCTGCAGTGGGACTCAGGGCAGTGCTGTTTGGTACCATTCAGAATATGCAAAGCTCACAGGAGACAAGAGCAGGGACGGCTGGGGGACTGTCACTATCAACTATAGGATTCTAGGGGGGATTTATGTGAAAACTTTAAAAAATAATATAAAATGGAATTTACAGTGCAATTAAGGAATAAGAGAAGATGGAAACCAGTCCTGGCAGTGGCAAGAAACGGGAGCGGGAAACACACTCAATGAAAAGAGAATGCAGACAGGGACTTGGGAGTGCTATTTTTTTTTTTTTTAACCTTTTTAGAGCTTTACTGGGAGAAAGGGAGGGAGAGAGAGGGAGGGAGGGGAGGGAGGGAAGGAGGGAGAGGAGGGACAGATGGAAGGAGAGAGTGGAAAGAGAAGAAGGGCTTTTTTTTTTTAAAGTAAATTATGTTAAAATAATTTTTTTAGCCGGGCGGTGGTGGCTCACGCCTTTAATCCCAGCACTCGGGAGGCAGAGGCAGGCGGATCTCTGTGAGTTCGAGGCCAGCCTGGTCTACAGCGCGAGCTCCAGGAAAGGCGCAAAGCTACACAGAGAAACCCTGTCTCGAAAAACCAAAAAAAAAAAAAAAAAATAATAATAATTTTTTTAAAGGAAAGTACAAAAGAAATTGATACAGCTTTCATGGTGGAACATGCTTATAACATCCAAGCACTTGGGAGATGAAAGCAGGGGGATCAGGGGTTCAAGGCTAGCCTTAGCTACACGGGAAGTCTGAGGCCAGCTCCAGGCTATCTGAGACCCTGTCTCAGATAAACAAACAAACAACAACAATCAAGCCGAAGCTCTCAGAATGCAATGGTACAGCAGAGCTGTGCTCTGGAGTCTAATGCTGTTCCCTTTGGGCCTTGCTCACTCGGCTGTCATCCCAACAAAGCCCTGCTGGGCCTAGTACCTGCTCCTCCTGAAGCTGACCCCAAGTGCTCAACGACAGGCCCTTAGTTAACAATGAGTTAACTGAATTGGGCACTAACGTCTTCCTGGGCTACAGGTGAACTGGGAGTCCCTTGTTAGGGGGAGCAGATCCATCTAGCTCCATAGCCTGATTGCATCTGTTCCATGGAACTGGGACTCAACTCACCTGGGAAGTTGTGACTGCAAGATTACAAAGAGGAAAACCATCCCCATGCCAGGCCTAACCGTCTAATAACTGCCAGCTGCTCCTAAGGAGTAAGGCAAAGGCTTGCCTTTAATCCCAGCCCTCCAGAGGCAAAGGAAGAAGGACCTCTGTGAGTTCAAGGCCAGCCTGGTCTACATATTACAAAAAAAAGTGAAGTGGCGAGTCCAACCCAGTGGTAGAAGGCCCACACTTGGCGATCCATCGTGGCCACCTGCTTTCAGGGGGACAGTGCTGTGCTGGCCACACCTCTTCTCTGACTGAAGAGCCACAATTAGGGCACTGCTGTTCAAGGCAGTGTGGCACAATGCTTACCTCATACTTATTAGGAGCGATGAAATTCAGTGTCTCATCAGGATCATACAGGATGGAGAAAGCCAATTCCAACACCTCCTACAGAGAAAGAGTTTGAGTGACTAGGAGCAATGACCAGTTAGGTCACTGAGGTCCCTGGGCATGCACCTAGGTGTGAGTTAACTGGCCTTAACTCACCCACTCCTTGGCACAGTCACACCTAAGAGGTGGTAGTAGTTTTTAAATCTGGAACTCAGTGTGGGGGCGCCTGCCTCGATCCCAGCAGGTGGGAAGTTGAGGATTTGAGATGAATCTGGGCTACATGGGAAGACCCACCCTCCTCAAAAAAGCAAACAAACAAACAAAACCTGATTGCAGCAAGGTACTTTTAACATTCAGAACCTTGAATGCCAGGACCATAGACCACCCTATGTTTTTATCTCATCTCCCAAGATGACTGACTGGCTTCCTCTTTCTATGGTGCTGGACTCTGCACAAAAAAGTCCTGAGAGTTAAACATCCCAAAAAAAACAAATTACTGACGAGCTGAGACAGTCTGAGCACCAAGAAAATAACCTCCGTACAAAGAGTCACACGTGATCGACTTAAACCCATGAGCTCATAAGAACACTAAAAACACAGAATGGAGACATAAAAATTGGTCATCACTGTGTGGTACCAGGAAACAACCCACTGCTTTAAGAGCAGTGATATGAAAGGAGAGTCAGGTCACTCGTCAGCCTTTTCCATACACTGCCATGGGGAAGCCCGCAGCAGAGAAAGGCAGGTTTCTTCACTGAGAAGCGGTTCAGCTCGTTAGTAAATGGAATACTCCTAGTTTGCAAACCTTAGCTGTGGAGGAGCTACAGTCTGCTGACATGACAGAGCACCACCCAGCCATTATGGGACTCCTGATAGGCCCAAATGCCATCTAGGATATGGCCATGCCAGGGCAGTCAAACAGGAACCAAATCAAACCTCTAGGTCCCTGTGCCAATTTACAGATTGGGGACAGAAGCAAAGCACAGAGTCAGTCAGCAAAACCCGGACTCTGGGAAATGACCACATAAGCAACATGGTCTATTAATCTAATAAACTGCAAAGATGGGAAGAAGATGGAGGGAATGCATGAATGAAGGACTTAGAGATGCACACACCGCAGCAAGCAGACCCACCAGAACTGATTTAAAACTGGGCACAATGCGTGCATGTGTACACATGACAGTAACAGGACAGCGGGTGGGCACTTCAAGGCGAATGGAATACTTGATATTAAGTAATTGCTTTTTATCTTCTGCTAGGTGTGATATGTGACTCTGTGGTTGTGTCCTTTAGAGCACACAGTAGATACTCATGAATGAAGTGGGGTCTTCCAGAGTCAGAAGGAGAAGTGGGTGGCAGAATTTGCCAGGGTTGCTGAGGCTGTGTCTTGAGATCTATTTATTTTTATAGTATTCAAAGCCCTTGATATGGAGTGTACAGGAATAATCTACAGTGGGAAGAGAGTTGCGTGCACCTTGAACCTGTGTCTGCAGACATCATGGGCAGGTGCAGGGGCTCAGGACAGCCTCCCCACTCACCTTGTTCTGTTTCAGGGCGTTCTTCTCTTTCATGTGGGGACAGTCTTTCCCAGTGACAATGGCCTTAATATCTGCAACAGGAACTGACAAAGAATGGGAATTAACATCTGGAAGCTGATGCTGCAAACTGGTTCAGCACTGGCCTCAGTGCTGGAAGAGAAGCCTCGGGCAGGTGCCAGGATGCAGTAGCTCCCAGGCTCAAGGGTCCTCCCAGCTCAGGGGGGTGTGCATGTGTGAACATGCCCTGCTCTTTGGTCTCTTCCTGTAGACCTGGCGGTGTCAAAGCTCACAGATGCTACTTGGGCTCACCTCCGTCAAGTGGAGCCTTGGGCACCCCCCCACTTCTCTTTCCAACAGTGGCGGTGGCAAAGAGCCCAAAGCAAAGGGCACTGCAGCTAACAGTGAGGCCGCCACCTGCCAGACAGTGCCCCGTGGAAATGTATGCACGTCTCACACAGTCCTCCGTGGGTAGAAGTCTGCATTAATCCCACTGTACAGTATAGTAGTGCGGATTAACTCGCAACACCTAGCATTAGCAACTAACCAGGGGCTAAGCCAGGGGTTTCATTTAGACTCCGCAGCCTTAGAGCCTCTGTGCTCCTCACCGCCTTTCAATGGAGGCCTGTCCTGCTCTTCATGACCTACACACAGCCACATGTGGGAGCTCAGTAACTCTCCCAACCCTGAGGTGGGCCAGGGAGAGGATCTTTAGCATGCCTGAGACCAAACACTGGGTTTGAGAAGCCAGGACTAGCTCTCAGGGGACCATTGAGTATGGGTGTCACAGCACACCAACAGAGACATCCACCTACTTTTCTCCTGCAGGGACTCAAACGTCACCTCCCCTTGAGGGTTGTCATCCAAGTCACCATAGTGCAGGACCTTGTGGTTCAGTGCCAAGCGGCAATGCCAGAACCGCTCTGGAACACAAGGGCGGCAAACAGGTGAGGCATGGGCAGTGCTGGGCAAAGGGACACCGACAGAGCCACCCCGGCAAGCATCTCAGGCAGGCTCCCAGGGCCCCAGCCGCCCCCTGACCTTGCCGCCGACGGTTTCCGATTTTTCGGAAGCTGCTGCCCTCACACAGCCGGTTCAGGCGCTGTTGCTTGATCAGCTCCAGGATCTCGGGCTGGATTTTCTCCCGAAGCTCCCTGTGGCACACCCCCAAGTCAGCAGAGACCACGGATGGCGGTGCTCGAGGCCGGTGGCAGGCTGCCTCCCTCACGGGCTCTCCCGGTTGACACTTACACAATCGGTGGGGACTGGAAGTCGTCCTGGCTCATCCTCTCAGACTGGCGCAACCGCAGAATCTCTGAATAGCTCAGGCTGCGAAGCTTGCTCTTGAACTGGTCCAAAGAGTTGGGTTTAGAGGGCAGAGCCCGGGTGATCTGTTCTCGGACGACTTGCATAACCTGGGCAAAGAAGGTAGCCACAGGCCACTCTGAAAATGGACAGGCCCCCTAGAGACCAAGGCTCTCCCTCACCCTGTGTAGAGTCCTGATTCCTAATGGACACCTTCTCAGGTGGCGACTCGGGTCACGTGACTGATGGTGACAGGAGCTTCATTTTTCACACATTTAAGTAGACATGGTGGTAGGAACATGGGTTCTGATCTCATTCTTTTTTTTTTTTTTTTATTTTCTGGTTTCGTTGAGACAGGGTTTCTCTGTGTAGCCCTGGCCTTCCTGGAACTCACTCTCTAGATCAGGCTGGCTTTGAACTCACAGAGATCTACCTGCTTCTGCCTCCCCAGTGCTGGGATTAAAGGCATTCGCCACCACCACCTGGCCTGATCTCAACTCTTGAATGCTCTTAAACATATTCTTTCAGCAAGATTAAACATGCTTATGCCTCCATCCCCTTGTCTCTACAGAGAGGAAGGCATCCTGCTTGCTGTCCACTGCCATGAAACAGGAGATGCTACATGGAAGGCAGGTCCAGTGCCCAGCAGATAGGGGTGTCACAATGTGCCCGTCTCCCTAAAAGAACTGTTAGAGCAGAAGGCAGGATGCTTGCCCTCCCATTGTATAGCAGCATAGTGAGGAACGAAAATACACACACACACACACACACACACTCACACAAGTCTTATAGGCACTTCTTTCTTTTTTACACTTTCTATGATTTTGTTGTTTTGTTTTATTTTCTTGAGATAGGGTCTTGCTATGCAAACCAGGCTGACCTAGAATGCATGACCCACCAACCTCACAGGCATGCACCACCATGCCAGCTCCCTTCTAAAATTTCCACAATGAGATAGATGGTCAGCCTCAAAACACTGGGCTCCTGGACTGTTGGCCTGTGAGGGCCTAGCACAGTGCTGCACACTGGGGCACTCAGAGCACTGAGGCCTGACAAGGACCATGGTGTTCACAGCATGCCAGCCTCCCTGCCTTGCTGACACTGGTTGTTCACGGAACTCATCTACCATACTGTGGCCGTGACAGGCACAGCTCCCCTGCTCAGCTATTCCCAACCCCTGTGGAGGACAGCGGCAGGTGTTAGCTTCCTCAGGCAAATGAAGGTCTTGGGCACCATGAGGAAGACGCCCGCTCAAGGTTACAAAGGGAGTCACAGCAGCTGAGCCAGGCTCCCCTTCAACCTCGTGACTCAGCACGGCCGACCAAGCTGGTTTTCCAGCTCGGGGATTCCCCAGGCGCTGGCCGGCTGTCGGCGGCTGCAGCGGGCCGGTCGTCTTCTGCCAGCCTCTGAGCGGCCGGCAGCGCTGACCTTGTTGAAGTCCTCGGCTGTCGCCCTCATCTCCTTCCAGGTCTTGTTCAGCAGCTGGATGCAGATTCCAAAGAGCTCTTCAAAGGCGCGGTCATGGGTGAAGAACATCGGATGGTAGTCATTGCGTCCTTCATTTGCTGTGGAGAGAAACGCCAAGCGTGGCAGCTCTGCCCTCAGGCACACAGGGCAGACACCTAGATTCTCTGCACTCAAGTCCTGAGGACAAGGAAAACAGACCACAGACTACAGCCATCAAGGAGCAGGAAGGGCCGTCCCTCAAGGTCTTAGCTCTCCCCAGGGGTTTTCTCCCTTGGTCCCTCTCTACCCTGTTACAAGCTCAGCTAGACCTAACACACAGTACTCGGGGGTGTCAGAGACACCTCAGATTACCTCAGATCACTAGCTCAGACAAAACGGCAGCCATGATCACCATGAACAGGTAAGATGGATGGTAAGCTCATGACCCCTGCCTAAGGCCCTCCAGTCCCCCTGACAGTCTGCTGCTGTCCATCATCTCTAGCTGGAGACCGGCTTGCCGAGCAGGAGAGGTGCAGACTTACGGAGCTCCCCGACCTGCAGGATCTCACAGAGCATCTTGGTGAGCTCAATGGCACTGCGGCCGAAAGGACACTCGTGCTTGTCTTCCCGGCTACTGTTCTCCAGCACAATCTATAAGCAGAGAAGAAAGAGGGGGTTGGGGGAGAGAAGCATGGGTGGGCACCAGGACTGCCAGGCAGCCCCTGCCTTTACCCGGATGTAGGTGTCCTGGTGGACTTTGGCCAGATACAGCATGTTGTCCAAAGCCAGCATTCCAGGAGGAGTCTGGGTGAAGTCCAAGGCTGGGTTGATATGGTTCTGGAGAAACCAGGAGACCAGGTGAGAAGATGGAATGTGTGGAATGACCTGGGGGCATCCCCTGCCCTCCCTTTCTCTTGGCTCCACCCTAGAGTGTCCAGCTCCTGGAGCACAGACTAAGGCTGCCTCGTCATGTGCCCCAGCAGCTGGCAGGCCAGCACTGAGTAAGCACACATACAGCTAAACCAATCTCACTCCCAGATGAGTGGTGTTTAACTAGAAAACAGTCACTCTAGCTTTGTGAAGAGCAAGCTGTGCTGGGGAACTGATTCACACAGGCTGTGGGTGCCATCCCTTCCTCTCCACTGTAGGACAGGGGAGGCGGTGGAAGCAGAGGTGAGGAAGCACACCATTAAGGTGAGCACAGAGCACCAGAGCTAGACCTACTCCAGGCATGTGGTCCCCTCTCCTCTACTGAGGCTGGCTTCCTGGGCCTGTAACTAATGGATCCAGTTTGCATGCCCCGATGATATATGCCCACTGAATGCCCATGGCCAAGGCAAACTGAGCACACAGGCCCTCCCCTCTTTCTGTCTGCTCCTCCAGGGCTCCCACTATGGGGGTCGGGGGGCTGCCAGTAGGCCCCCTGACTTCCTGTCTGGGAGGCGCGCTCTGGGTACTTACAGTAAACCCCAGCATTTTATAGTCCTTGGTATACATGGCCTTGCGCTTTTCAGTCCCGCTCCCAGGGACATTGCTAGGGTCCGACTCTGCGTCAAATGCAATCCTCCTCAGTTCAAATATGATGTCTCTCTGAGCCTGGAAGGTACAACAGTAGGCAGGTCAACTGCCAGCCGAAGGGAGCAAGGAAGAGAACAGGAGGGCGTGTGCTCCCAAGTCTCTCTTGGGAGAGACCGGCAACAGGACAGAAGGACAGAAGAGGGCTCTGTCCCAAGTCCCCAGAGATGCAGCCCCACTAGCTCTGTCGGGGCTGACAGACACTCCGCACAGCGCGGCCCACACCGAGGCTGCAATGACCACAGCCGTGCGGAAACAGCACACTGTACACCAGGCGGCCCAGCACCTGCCTGGTCATTGGGGTCCATCTTCGTCATCATTCTTTCTTCCAGGAGGTTAAAGGTCAGGACTTGAAGGACATACAGCTGATGGGCCATCTCCGTTTTGATTGGACGATTCCCTCGGATCACGTGCTAGAAAAAGCAAAGGCAGGAGCAGGGCTCAAGGACTGTCTTTTTCCTAGAGAGCCACATCCATGCTGGGGGGCGGGGGACAAGCACGCTGGACAGGGATGACTTCCTCCTTGCCAGAGCCTGCGTGCTCTTGAGGGCTGGAGTGGGGGGGCTGGACCGAGCCTGAGTAGATTCATGCAGGCAGGCCTTCCTCTCCACTCTTGGGCAGGGGAGGCCGAATGAGGGTGAAGGCTCAATCTCAGACACCAGAGGTGGGGAGCACACCACCAAGGTGAGGACGGCCCACCAGACCTAGTCCCACCCAGGCTTCACCTCACAGGCCTAAAGCCAGGGCAACAGTGAGGGCGTGGAAAAGGGCCACTGGTAGACAGCTTTACAACAAATCGCTTTAAACGGTACGGAGCCACCTATAAGGAAAGCCACTTGATTTCCCCATCCAACCTCACGCCACCCTCCCACTCCTCTCTCCTCTGCACCCCATGTAGGTCCTGTATCCCCCAAATCATGGCCCTGCCCACACTTTAGCTATCCGCTCTATCGCCCACTGGTGGCTCCTCGGCTTCCTCTGACCTGATGCTCTCCTCACCTTCTCTCACCTTGCGGCTTTTCTCCCTGCCTGTCCTGGCTAATCAGCTTGGGTGTGGCACATGGGTCTCTCAGCCCCGGTCCTTACCCCCACAACACCCTGCTTTTCCTCCTTGCTCCCTCGACTTCTCAACCAATACCCCTGCCCCACATCCTGAATCCTGTCACTCTGGGTTCTTGTCCAGCTTCTGCCAGGTCCTGTGTCCTTCAGGTCTTACTCAGCAGCCCGACTCTAGAACCTCTCTGTACAGTGTAGCAGCCACTAGTCACTTGTGGGTATTTGTGATTGTGGCCGAGTCACAGCAGCCACCCTCTAAGTGCTGGACAGATTCCCCATAGCTAGGGCCACCAGCACAGCACAGAGCACTACAGCAGCATGGGACTTCCTGTGGTGGCCCACAGAGGCTCCCTAGTGAGACCTTACTCAAGGTCAGAGAATCTGCCCAGCGGGGCTACACGATGGGAGGATTTGACCAGGAGCGTGTTTACCAGGTGTTTGGAAGGGTCTACACTTGGCTGTATGGTGTGCTTTGATCTTGCAAGGGGAGGTCTTTTGCCTCTCTCCTTGGCATATTATAAAAAGCCCTTTTGAATAAAGCTCTGGAAGGCTGGGTATTGACCCAGGGCCCTCCTGAAGCTATCCTGTGTCACTGTCTTTCTTATCATCTCTATCTTTCTACCTAATATTTCCTCATTCCTCTCTCCTCCACCCAAGAACCCTTCGACAGGTGGGGGTAGTCAGAGCTGATTTCCCACAGTCTCCCACAACTTCTACACAACCCTGCCCTAGCACTAACTCTGCAAAGCTCCCCTAACTCAATACCCCCCACCCACCCACCCCCGTCCCCTACCATCTGCTCTGACTCTAGACCAGGCTTTTGGACCTATGCAATACAAGTTGATGGCCCTAGGCTCACATGGTTGGTGAACACTGGCCAGGTCTAAACTATGGTATGCAGTGTTTACAACACACCAGACCCGGAAGCCTTGGTGTGAAGAGTGAAGGCTGGCATGTGTCACTGATGCCTCATGAACTGCCAGGAGCCACGTGACTTCTTCAGGAGACAAGGCCTGAGAACAGCACAAACAGGTTCTCCTGGAGGCAAGGCCCGGGAGAATTTAACCCGTTTTTGGCAAGGCCGATGGATAGTTCACTGCATAATTCCAGGCATGACCCCAGGAGCATATGGGCTACCCGCTCTCCTTGCTCTCCTTATACAAACCGTACTGCTGGCTGCCCTAGTCTCACTTTCTTAGAGCTAGGGATGAAGTGGCTTTCATATAGGAAAAACATCCCTCTGATGACTCTCCTCTGGCTGAGCCAGAGGGGAAGTTGTTAAAAATACACGATGGACCTGATTCAGCTCCTAAAGTCTTTGATGTATCAGGTGTGGCCATGAACTCAGGATTCTCAAGAACAGGATGTTGCCTTTCCATGGCACTTTGTGACCAGCCTGAAAGAGTCACAGTAGTTCATGACATTACACATTTGCCTAACTGTCCTGGAGAGAATGATTCTGACCACAGGAGTCTAGGAGAAATACAAACAGATGATATCAAGAGTTAATGGGAACAGTCTAGGAACAGGGAACGAAGCCGAATCATAGGACTCCACAGTGCCCTCCTTCCTAACAGCTGTGCCAACACCGTAGGAAGCTGAGGAAGGGGACATGAGAACAAGAAATAGGCAGTGCCATAAGAGTCATGCAGTTCACAGGATGATAGGAGAAAACCTGGTAGATCCTCCATAGATAGAATAGTACCGAATGAAGAATGAACTGATTCAGCCGTGGCTGATGAGTCAATTGTGAGAACTTAGATTTGACTAGAGGTAAACATTAACCACTAGAGGCAAACCTCTCTTTCACGTTGCATGATGCCGTAACTGCAATGCTGCCAACGGGCACACTGTCCTACCTGTGGGTGTGCCTAGTTAGAAAACGTCCTTTGCTGCTTGCAACGTTGCTCATGCTTCTAATATTAAAGCTATGAATCAAGCAGGCAATGGTTACCGGTGGGAAAGTTGGGGGACGGGAGGGCAATGAGGTGAGGGAACAAACTGGCAATTGTTGTAATTACTATTAGAAACTTAAGGGAACAAATCTGATTGTAAAACTGTTCATGTAAACGGTATAAATAAAAACGGCCCAGGCTATCTGGGACCACTTGTTTGAAACAGGTGGTCAGAATTTTGTCATTGCGCCTATCTGTCCCAGGCCATTGGACCTGTTAGGAGCAAGGCTCCCAGCAATGAATGTATCTATTGCATGCTGAAATGTTTTTGGTATCATGTGTTAAATAAACCAGACATTAAGCTCCATTTCTCCCATTCCCTTAACACTGCTGATGGAGCATCTCAAAGTCCACACCAGGCTTGAGTTCTATTTCCCCTAGCTGGGCCTATCCCAGGCCTCATCCTCAGCTGTAGACCTCAGGCGGTCTGCTTTTTCTACATCTCTGCTGCCCAGTCCAGACACCAAAGCCACACACAGTGGGATGAACCCCACTGAAATCAAAGTCATCCATTCAGGCCCCTGGTTCTTCCAAGCAGCATCCTCTCAGGACAGAACTTCCGGAAGCAGAATGTGTGTGGAACCAGACCTGCCCGGCTGCCCTCAGAACAGAACTGGGATGCCTCCTGCCTTCTAACTCCTGCTGACACAGGCCCTCTCCATCTCTCCAGCATGCCTCTTACTAGCTGAAGCTCGGGTATCCTCTCAGCCCCCAAGGCCATGCCCTCCTCCTTTGCTCTGCCACCCAGCTTATTGTCTCCTCTCCATCTCCTCTTCTACCTTGCCCCAAATTTCCTCCCCGACTGCTCCCTCTCCCTACCACCCTACTGCACCCTGTATGTCCATCTCTATTCCTTCCTCCTCACATCTCTCCCTCATTCAGAAGACGGCTATGAAGAGAGGTGAACATCAATGTGCTCTTGGGTTTTGCTCACCTTTCTCAGGTGAAGGGGAGGGAGGTGCTCTCCAGCAATGGCCGCAGCTCTTTAGTGTCACTCAGAGTATGCTTCTCCACTGCCTAGCAAATCAGTTAAGCCCTGATGCTCAGCTGCCTACTCTGTGGGACTCTCTTCTGATCCATCAAGCTAAGCCTCAGCCATGGTAGATTTTTCCCCAGAAGTGCCTCCCCACACCTGCACGAAGAGGGGGTACCTAGGCAGCTGTTCTGGTGTGCCCACAACAGTGCACAGCAGCCTACGCACTCCCCACACTGTAGGGTCAGCGTTTCAAGCATTTGCTGGGAGAGGGCTTGCAGTGACCTGGGGACCCAGTCACGCAAGGTAAAGCCAGTGGACTCTGCAGGCTTGCTCAGAGCTCTCTTTTGGAGCTCTCTCAACACACACACACACACACACACACACACACACACACACACACACACACACACACACACACAGTCTCTCTCATGCACCCTGCCAGGCATAGTCTATACATTAGCTCCTTCAGTCCTCGCACCCAGCTGAGCAAATCAAAGTCCAGGGATTCGAGGTCAGCTGCTCAAGATCAAAGCAAACTGGAAAATGGCTAAAGCCCACCATCAGCACCAAATCTTTCATGCTTGACTCTGATGTTTCGTTTATTACCTTCATTGCTGTCTCTGGGTTTTCCTTTGTTTCTGACAACTAATAAACTCTCTTCCTTTTAGCCCAGATCTTAGCTCCTGTTCCCACTTCCCATAGCCCACATCACCACCACAGTAACCTCTGCAAGTGCCCAGCTCCTACAGCACGGTCTGTGGTGACCTAGAATCCAGTGTACCTCCACCACCATCTTGAATCTCAGCCATGCTGGGGAGGGAGACTAAAGCCTGATCTGACCAGGTGCTCAGCAGAGATCTGCCCCTTGCTCCACCCCTGTACTGCTGGTTGCTGTGGTTAGGCTGGGTGTCTTGCCTGTGTGCCTGACATTTGCAGTTCCTTGAAAGGTTTCCTGACCCCTCCCCTGCAAAGCAGATCTCACTGGCCCTGCCTTTTCCTGGCCACGGCTGTGCTGGACCCCACCTTTCCTACCAGAGCACAAGGTTGAGAGCAGGTCCACCCCCTCATCTGTCAGCGCCTTGTATGCTCCAGGTTTCTGAATTTCTAGGCTGTTGCTGACTCTCCTTTTTTTGTGTTTACCAGTTTTGAAGTCGTAACAAGCAGCAGAGATAGCGTTTACCTCTTCTCCCTGGAAGGGCTGCCATCTCTTGGGAGCAGTGGGAATATGTGGTGGCTTGAAAGAAAATGGACCCCAAAGGAAGCGGCACTATTGGGAGGTGTGGCTTTGATGGGGGAAGTGTGTCAGTGTGGAGGTGGGCTTTGAAGTCTCATATATGCTCAAGCCACGCCCACTGAGACAGTCTACTTCCTGTTGCCTGCATATCAACACGTGCAGCTCCTTCTCCAGCACCATGTCTGCCTGCACCCCACCCTGCTCCCCGCCATAATGATAACAGACTAAACTCTGAACTGTAAGACACCGCCTCAATTAAATGTTTTCCTTTATAGGGGGTATGGTGGTCATAGTGTCTCTTCACAGCAATAGAATCCCTAACTAAACAGGATGGCTTCTCAGAGGCAGCTTGGCTCAGGAGTTCAAGAAAAAGCTCAGGTTTCAGAAGCACCCAGCACTGTAACAGGTAATAACAGGAAGCCGGCTCTGTGCCCCCCACCCTCAATGGCAATAATCACAGCCCCCACTGGAATGGTGACAACTACCAGCAACAGTAACAAGCACTAACAAGGCAGTCCCTAGGAACTCACGTTCAGGATTATGGACCGAAGGTGCTTCTGCGCAAAGGCGTTGGCCATGTCCTAGGGAGGGAAATCAAGAGACGTACGGTAAGGCAGGTGTACCTCTGACTGCTGTCGGGGGACTGTGTCCTCACAGCCTTGAATGCTTTCCTTTCGATTGAAAAGTGAAGAAATCCACGGACCATCACACTTATCTTACTCTAAAAATTTCCCTGCTTCTTTTCGTGAGTGCAAATGAACTCAGTTTCCCTTCGAACGGGCACAGTAAGCTGCACATCTTCACAGGGGACTCTTGAGGACAAGACACACGTGAGACAAGGATGCTGGCGATGGACACTGCAGGCAGAACACACAGCAGCACACGCACCGTTCCAGGCAGACAGCTGAAGAACCCTGGGCTGCAGACTACTCTGAGGCCAGGGCCTTGGCCCAGCACAAATGCCTGGTTCCTTGTGGCTGGTTTAGAGAGTGATATGCTGTGTGCCTCTGGGTAATCTTTCACGGTGGTCTCACCTTCCCCATCACATTTGGCTGAAACTTTGACAGTAACATTTTATTTATTAAATATCTAGAAAATAAAGTATTCTAAAAGGTGAGTCCTCCACAGAGATTTTTAAGGGCCCATCGGCATCATTTTGACCATCTTTTAAAAAGACACACAAGGGACTACAATGATTGTCATTCAAGCTCCTCCCAAGCTTGCTGGGGATCACTCTGCCATGACACTGTCACCCTGAGGAGCTTTTGAAATGTCACCTAAACAAAATGGTCCCATATGAGAATGCTTCTGATATTCTCACAGCTTTTCTCAAACTCTCAGTCTCTTCCTTCCAATGTCAGCATTATGTCTTAGTGATGTTGCCTTGGTTACCTTTATGGACGTTTGTAAGTCAGCGGGCCTGAGGGGGCTGCTGCTCTCCTGTGTGTTCCCTCCTGTTTCTAAGCCTCTGTCCACGTCCCCCATGTCTGGCCAGGAGCATCCAGGTTTACTGTGAGCCCCGAGCATAACCTGGCTAGCAGAGGACGGTGCCTAGAAGCTTCTCTGGTAGCCACAAGATGTCAGGTAAGACTATAGACACCTACCGGTAGACTTGACAAGCTTCTCCTTGGGTGGGGAGCACACCCTCCTTCAGGTCCTTCAGGGAGCCTTTCCAAAGCTCCCTCTACCCAAGAATAAGCACCAAAATTCTTTTTAATCTTAAAAAATTTGTGCATGGGAGTTTTGACTGTGTGTGTCCACGTGGGCAGTATCTGAGGAGGCTGGAAGAGGGTGTCAGATCCCCGGAACTAGAGTTAGAAACGATTGTGAACCTCCACGTGGGTGCTGGGAACTGAACCTGGGTCCTCTGCAGAGCCAGGCCATCTCGTCACTCAAACTCCCTTTTGTAAACTGTCTAAGCCTTCTCATTATCTATCTAGGAAGAGTCCAGATTTACCCCCACTCTGGCTTTGGCAGCCAGGAGGTGACACATTCTTGGGATCATATGGAAGAAAGTCAGGCTGTTTCGCATCTGATTCCAAGCTAATTCCAGACTCACACAAAGGTATCCTGAGGGCGTGTCTGGCCACTCTCCCAGAGTGGGCATCCCTCAGTCCTCCTATGAGTCTCACCTACGGTGCCTTTCTAGCATTCCAGTAAACAGACATATGCCACCTTTCCAGGGCCTTGGTTCCCTGAGCAGCCAGTCCAGCCCATATGCTTCCTGTCCAGCTTTGACCTCCCCACCAGGAAGAGCCAGGCCCTCTGCGACAGCAGCGCTACTTACAGTGACGGGCAGGTCTAGAGGGTTAAGATGCTTGTCCTGCCAGCAGAAAAGCAAAAAGCACAGAGAAGCAGACAGGGTGAGCTTTCGGCTTATGGTTAACACGACAGGAAGGGAGATGGTCACAGAGCCACACCGTCTAGACAGACAGGACAGACAGACCCTGGATGTTCCTCTACTAGAGAGACCCTCTAGTAAAGGAACTCCTGAGAGCCTGGTGCATGACCCCACTTGAACTTCATTTAGTGGGCCCACGATAGTGACAGAGAATTAGAAAGCCTTACTTCTGTACACTCTGTGCGCTTTTACCAGACATCTGGTACGTTAGGATTAGAAGGTGCTTAGAGCTTGTTTAATTCTGACCTTTCATTTCACAAAAAGAGGCACTCAGACTTGGAAGGCTGATACACGTGCCTAGCCAGAGGAAGGACAAGCACTCTGCCCAGGTCCTCCTTAACCAGCTTCTAGGTCCCACACTACAAAACAGGGGTCTCTTGTGACTAATGACATCACCGTGAGTGAGTGCTCAGGGCAGATGCTGTCACTCCCACAGTTACAGAAAGCAACTAAAGATGAGACAAGGAAGAGCCTGTCATGACTGCATGCACCACACAGCTGGTGACGGAGGAAGGAGGCTGAGGATGTACAACTTGGTACTTAGTCCCAGTGGCAGTCAGAGGGTCTCCCCTTCCCTCTTCTTGGTCCTCTAACCCAGGGATTAGCAAACTAAAGGCCCAGTGTGTGTGTTGTCTGTATAAACACTCTGACTGGAAGATATCTGTACCACTGTTTACCTCTTGTCTGAAGCTGCCTTTGGCTTCAAGAGCCGAGCTCGAAGGGTTGCCCTAAGAAGTGAAAAACATTTACTTTCTGATGCTTCAGAGGAAACCCCTTCAGAACTCTGCTCTGATCCTGGAAGCATAAGCCCCCCACTCCAGTTCTTTCCTGGGGCTTCCTTAGCAAAAACACCCTCCTGGGCTCTGGCCAGGAGGGCTGGGGAGGAACTCTTGGGGGCACAGCTCTCTCTTTGACCTGAAGAGCTGGCACTGTGGTGTTCTCTGAGAAGAGCTCAGGAGAAAAGGTTAGAAAGCCAGGCACAGACCTGTCGCTTGTCTTCAGGGGCCTTCAGGAACAGCGCGTTAATCAGAGCGATGGCATAGGTCTGGATCTCCTGGTTGGAGCTGTGTCAACAGAGACAGAGGCAGAAGGATCAGAGAACTGAAGAGCAAAAGGATGATGTTCACAGACAGCTTATAACACTCAGACTGTGATCAAACAACGACCTGGGGCTAAGTCAGGAAAGCATTTCGAGCAGGCACACACCTGACCCCGTGATTCACAGGAGGGATTTATCCAAGACAGTAATCAGAAAGCTGTGCATGATTTATTGACAAGCTGTTACACTAGAGTCCTATTAAAAAGACAAGAATGTTAAGTAATCCAAATGCTCTCGCTGGGGGCTGTTTAATATGCGAGACTCCTAAGGGCCTCCTAAAAATCGTGCTTTGGGGTGAAGATTATTAACCTGGGACTCAGGGATGGGCTTGGAGTATCTGTGAAGCCCAGATATGGTACAGTGAGTATCTAGCTGACTGCATGTGACCTTCTCAAGGAGAGGAAAGCTCAGTTGGTACTGGTTTCCACAGGCATCTGGGATGCAGAACAGGGTTAGAAGTATCCTTGTAAAAGATCTTGATATGGGAAAATGTTCAAGATGTATTATTCAGTCAGAAAAAGAAGTAATAACATAGGTACATATCAGAGTGCATAGCAAGATCTCAATTTTGGCAAAAATATGCAAAGGAAAAGACTATAGAGACATTCAACTTAGTGTTTAGCAGTGGTTCTGTCTGGAGTGGGATAATGAGCAAATAATGTACTGTTCATGTTTTTCCATATTTTCAAAGTTTTGACTACGAGTTTATCTTACTTTAAGTAAATAAAACAACCACAAGCATTTCCCCAGAATCTTATAATGCTGGCTTGGGGCTTCCATCTGCCACATTGTGGGTGCCTCCTGTGGCTTCCTCCAGAGGGCCAACAGCTTCCTGGTCAGGAAGGTCCCTTGCTGAGCATATGTACACTGGTGACAGTGTGGACTAAATATTCATGAGGAAGCCTAAGAGATGTCACAATTCTCTACTGTTCTCAGGGAGGCAGCTGAGGTCACCTCCAACTCAGAGAAGAGAGAGGAGTAAGGTCGCCAGGACCCAAGAAATCCCTATCCAGAGTCTGTGAGCGCCTTCCACCCTGGCTCTTCATGTATGAAAGCTGGGGTTGAGGAATCCTTTAGAAGTGACAAGGCGAAGCCAGGGGAGGTGGTACACACCTGTAATTGGAAGATATAATTGGAGAGATGGAAGAGGATCATGAGTTCAGGGCCAGCCTGGACAGCATGAGACCTGCCCCTCCTCCCAAAACAGTGACAAGGTGAGATCAGTGCACAAAGTCATCACGTGCATCCTAGATTAATGGGGAAATGGGTTAGGGGCACTACTGGGTTGTGCTGGCCAGTTTTATGTCAACTTGACACAAGCAAAGGTCATCTAAGAGGGACCTCAATTGAGAATGTGGGGATCTAAGCAAACCTGTGGATCATTTCCTTAGTTAGTGATTGATGTGGGAGGAGCCAGCTCAATGTGGGTGGGGCCATCTTTGGGGTGGTGGTCCTGGGTTCTGTATAAAAGCAGGCTGAGCAAGCCATGAGGAGCAAGCCAGTAAGCAAGCAGCAGCCCTTCAAGGCCTCTGCATCAGCTCCTGCCTCCAGACTCCTGCCCTGTTGAGTTCCTGTCCTGACTTCCTTTAATGATGAACAGTGATGTGGAAGCATAAGCCGAATAAACCCTCTACTCCCCAACCTGCTTTTGGTCACGGTGCTTATCACTGCAAGAGTGACCCCAATTAGGACAGAAATTGGTCCCAGGAGTGGAGTATTGCTGTGGTAGACTTGTCCATGTATTTCTGGGAGGATTGTGGAAGGATTTTAGAACTTTGGGCTAGAAAAGCCATTGAGTGTTCAAAGCTTGGTGAGCTGTTCTGTGGGAGCTTGGAAGATAAGAACGTTGAGAAAAATGCAGAGGATGACGGCCTGGTTTGTGAAATTTCAGAGGGAAGCTAAAACTCTACCAGTCCATTTGTGTTAAGACTCTGTGATTCTACTCAGCTGGAGCTGAAGAATCTGCTGTGATTAATAAGAGACCAGCACCACTGAAGTGTAACCTTTGCTTTATTGAGACACTTGATGCTGGTCTGCTGGAGCTGATAAATTAGCAGTGATTAAGAAGAGACCAGCATCACTAAGGTGAAATCTTCTGGAAGTGTTTCCTGAGAGCACAGAGAAGCTGTGTTCCAGAGGTGGCCAAGGTTGTACCTCATGCTGACAGCCAGACTTGGTAATGTGTAAGAGTCACCCAGGTGGTACTGGTTTTGAAGGCATGAAGGAGTACTGGAGAGCAGCTGAGGCTTGGCACTGTGAGAGGCCAGGAGAGGCCATCGGTGAGGGTGCAGCTTCAGTGGCAGTTGAAGGCCCAGGACTGAGGGGGTCATGCAAAGAAGTTGAGGCTTGGCACCATGAAGAGAGCCCATGAGAGGCTATTGGTGAGAGTGCAGCCCAGTGTCAGCAGAGGACCCCAGTACGTTAGAGATGCCAGCACCATGGGATGACCACTAAGAAGAGCAGCAGCAGTGGAGGGGAGCAGCTGGAGCCTAGAGGACAAGCTGTGGGAACTGACCCAAGCCCCTCAGAAGAGATCATGAGTTATTTACAGTTGAAGTTTGGTTTTGCTTTGTTCAGATTGTGAATGTGCCCTGGTTCTTCCCTCTTGAAGTAAGAAAGTATTTATTTTTGATTTTACAGGAGCTCAGTTGAGAGACTTTAAACTTAAAAAAAAAAGATTTAAGAGTTTTTCAGAGACTTTGGATTTTAATAGAGACCATATTTTTAAAGAGACAACTTCTAAAGTGTTTGAATTTTGTAAGGCTGTGGGACTTCTTAAGTTTGTAAAGTGTTTTATATTGTGATGTCTTTATTAATGTGAGATCTTGGGGAAAGGAAAGGTTCTGGTTTCACAGTAATGATGTGTTCGTGTGTCAGGTTGACAAGAGGTCAGTTGTGCTAGCCAGTTTTATGTCAACTGGACACAGGCTAGAATCATCTGAGCGGAGGAACCTCAACTGAGAAAATGCCTCCGTAAGATCAGGTTGTAGGTAAGCCTGCAGAGCATTTTCTTAATTAGTGATTGATGGGAGGGCCCAGCCCATTGTAGGTGGGGCCATTCCTGGGCTGGTGGTCCTGGGTGAAGCTGCATCTGCCTTGCATCTGGGAGACTATCCTAGATATATACATCCTCTGGGCCCCACAGGGGATCTAGCCCCGTTCCAATCAAGTCTAACAAGCAGGAAGGAGTGAGAATCAGTGTCAATCGACAGTGTTATCACCCTTCTTTGGGCAAGTTCGGTCCCTACAATCATGAACACTGGCTCACAGTGGTGCCTGTGTGTCACCTGGTTTATTATAGGCTAAATACGTGTCCTGGTAAAGTAAGCTTGTTTAAAAAAAGCAAACTAAAACCCTGACTTCGGGTTAGGTATTAATCTGGGCTGGCTAGCATGCTAGCTCTTAAACTTCTTTGATCCACATAGGTATGGAAGGTGGAGATGACGCACACATCCAGAGATGAGGGAACTGAGGCCAAAAGACTCAAACAGGGAGTTCAAAGCCAAGCCCTGGCATGCCACAAAGCCTGGATCTGAGCTGGCATCCCAAACTCACATGGAGCCCACACTTTTGATGTTACCACCACACTGTTGCCACCATAGTAAATGACCACCCAACCACCCAAGCTCCTACTTAAATCAGGAAGGGGGTTCAAAAATGGCTGAGTTCTTGTTCCCAGGGAGCTCAGAACTTCCGATGGGCAACAGGTAGTAAAATACAGCATTTTACACAAATATCATTGTCATGGGTACAAATAAGACTATCAGTCCCACGGAAGAGGGCGTGTCTAAGCCTGCCTGGCAGCTGGGGTCTGAACTATGAGAAGAATGCCCAGAGGAGGAGGAGGTGCTGAGGGAGTGTGCAGGGCTAGGCAGACTGTAAGGCGGAGGAGGGCGGGGCCCTTACTCACACTTGCAGGTGGGAGATGAGCTGTCCCACGGTGATTTCCTCTGCTATCTTCTGGTACAGGCTCTGGCTGTTTAATACCATGCTCTCTAGGATGGCCAGGGACCGCTGAAGGATGGACACATCGACCATCGGCTGGCTCACGTACCCTGCAATCTAGACCCAGGGAGAGGCACACTGGATGGTAAGCTTGGAAACCCCTGATGCTCTCTTCTCAGCATCCTGCCTCTCTGTGGGTAACAGGGGCCAGGCCGATCCTAACATCTGATTATGAGTGCCCTGGCCAATGGACCAGGATCCCTCAGCACGGATACTTCCATCTTAAGTGACAGTATCCATTCAACTGTGTTTCTTCAAAATGTTTAACAACTTAATCCTTTTCAAAATAAGGGTTTGGGGCTGGGGATTTAGCTCAGTGGTAGAGCACTTGCCTAGCAAGCACAAGGTCCTGGGTTCGGTCCTCAGCTCCAGAAAATTAAATAAAATAAAATAAAATAAGGGTTCAACCTGAGATGGACCTACTCTATTGATTCTTGGATCTTATCTTTACCTGCTCTTCCAACTCCCTTACAGAGTTAGACATCAGACTTGGAAGAATCCTTTAGCTAAACCCCTCTTCCCAATTCCCTCCTTACACCACAAGTTTCTAACATTGGGAAGTTCTCAATGGTTCAAGCCAAAGATATGAACTGCTAGTCAACGGACAGCAGAACATTCACTGGTTTTTATTCAGTGTTCTGAGCTGAGACTGCCCCTTCTGGTAGCAGAAAAGAGGGCAGACTCGGAAGGGCAGACTGCTCCAGTTCATCTCACAACCCAAGCAGGCTACTTGGCAGATTAGTACAAAGGAAGCACATTTGCAAATGAGATGCAGTCTTCACTCAGAAGAGCTGAGGAAGCAGGTAGCTCAGCGCTGATGACTGGCTGCTTTGTGCCAGCCTCACTGACCACCAGCTCTACTCTGAGCCCTGTCCTTGGTGCAGGCCCTGAGAGAAGACAAATTGTGAATTGAGATCTTTTCCTGGGCAAGTGACAAAGCCTCTCTTGAGACCAGGCTGTGGAAACTGAGCCACACCCCCCAGGGATGTGGTCAGGGGGCAAACAAAGGAGCCACTACAAGCTGCTCAGGAGGCTGTTCAGCAGGCCAAGGGAAGTGAGTTCATTTTTAATCTGGTGACATTTCCAACATATGATGGGTTTATCAAGTAAGAACCTACAGTAAATTGAGGAGCATCTGTTAGTGTAAACCGTTCAGGAGTCCTGGGAAGATCATTGCTTAAGGATGAAAACTCCAGCCCCAGGGAATACGAAGCTGATTCCTGCCAGAGACTCCAGGCTGCAGTGCCTACTCCCCTTATGCCCAGAGAACTCACAGGGAGAGGGAGGAGACAAACGGAATGTTGGAGACCTCACCTGCTTAATGAAGGTGATGGAAACCATGTCCCAGGAGACAATGCCATGGTCCATGAGCTCTAAGAAGGCAGTCAGGGTGAATGCCAGCATCTCACTGTAGCTGAGACATGTGCAACACACACAGAATACAGAGATTCAGATCCAGGGAGCACAAGTGTGAGGGCAGCTACAAAAGGGACAGATCTCAGTGTACACCCACGGGAAATCTGTGGAAGCAGCGGCCAGGGCCTGCAGCGCCCAGCCAGCTGCAGGGCAGATGTGGCCCAGGTACCTACACTGGAAAGCGGCTGGACTGCAGGCACCTAGGCTTGTCTTCGCCATCTTGCTTCATCTCTGGGTTAGTCTGTTAGCTATCTCTCAAAACAAAGACCTCTGTCAAACTGACACTGGCCAGGGCACCAACGAGAGCTTATGTCTCATGTTACCCTTCAGGCCGAGAGGCAGCAGGGCGAGGGAGACAGCCCAGGTGTGGAAGTGCCTTCGGTTTCTGTCTGAGCAGCTGCCATGCTGGTTTTGTCTTCCCCAACTCTAGCTTCCTCCTCTGGAAGACGGAGTGAGTCTCACAGCATTAGACTCACAGGGCCATGGGAAGAGCAAGCTGATGAGGTCTGCTGTGCCCTTAGAATAACACGGTGTAAGGATTAAACAGCTGCCTTTTGTCTTTCCTGACAGGTTTAATCATTCTTGCCGTGGCGTGGTACTCTATAGTTGCCGAGCCAGGGCCCTGTTTGCCGGCGGTAATAACGCTGCTCACAGAACAGAGTGTCAGCCCCATTTCGGAGAGGAGGAGACTAAGGCTGGTCTGCTGCAGCCCAGCACTCTCCCAACGGTGGCCAGAGGCTTCCGCTTTGGTGCAGCTGGAGGATCCAAGACTTTAAAACAAATACCTAGGATTAGCTGCTTGGCTTGGCTGACAGTTTGGGGAGCTGATCCGTCGCCTGCGAGATTTCTGACTCCCTGACTGCTTAGGCTCCACGGGCTTAGATGGAGAACTGGGCACCTGTCACTCACTGCTGATCATAAATAGGGCACAGCTACCACAGCCACCTAAGTCTGGAGGGCAGTAGTGGTGTCCAGGGGCGGTGCCAAGTCCTGAGCTCCTCCTGTGACATCCAGAGGGAGGCATGCACATCGGTGAGAGAAGATGGGACAAGGGAGGGCAGGCACGGTCGCTAAAGATCATCAACAGTTCCCATCTCTCCCCTGACCCTCACTAGGCCAAGCACTTCCCATAAATCATCAGGTCTGCTGTGCACTGACTTCCTTCCTAACGTTCAGGGCCCCTACTCTGACTACTCACCTAGCACAGCACTGGGTCACTCCACCCATGAGAGTCCCCTGGACTCTGAGATGCAGGACCCCAACAGGGATGAAAACTCTATGTGTGTGGACTTGGACTCCTTATTGACACCATGGAAGTGCAAACAGGAGCCCTGCAGGTCATGGGACTCTGAAATTCCATGGGAGACTTTGGAGACACTCACTGGGACAGGAGCTTGGTTCCGCTCTCCACGAGCCTTGTCAGCACAACGATGCCGTCCATGTTGATGAACTCAGTGGCAAAAGTCACGTCGGCTGAGAGCTTAGCCAGCTCCTTCATGGCATCCAGCCGGATCTCCATACTGGATGACTGGGTCCTTTCCATCAGCTGGCGTGCAGCCCGGGACTAGGAGGCCAGGGACAAAAGAGAAGCCATCTGCTCCTACAGCAGGTTACTACTGTGGGCTCGCAGCCGAGCCCCAGGCAGTTAGGTTTTCACATGGCTTAGGAACTGCTAAATCAATGTTTATGGGTCCAGTAAGAGAATTTCCAGCGTTCTGAGACTGATCTGTAGTTATCTGTATCTTTCCCTTTTCTATATCCCTCTAGCCCATGGATTTGTTTTATTTTTAAAATCACATTTCTTTTGTGTGTGTATGCATGTGCATGCCATACCCTGAGTGTGGCGATCAGAGCTTAAGTCAAGGGGAGGTTCTTTTCTTCCACCATGAGGTGGAAGGGATAGAACTCAGGCCATCAGTTCTTGACCAAGAACTTAACCCACTGAGCCATGTTGCTGGCCCCAGTCTACAGATTTTTTTTCTTTTTTAAATTCCTACCAAAAAAAAAATAAAGAAAGAAAACTGGGATACCTCCTGTGTAAGTCTGCAGAAGCAGATCTGGCCTAACAGGGAGCTTTCTGCTGATGAACACTACCTGACAGCAGGGGTTTCTACTGGAAAGCCGAGCCCCACCCCGGAAACAAATGAGGGGAACTTGACATCATCTGTAGAGGCCGAGGGCCCTGCCCGCGAATTTAATCTGATGGCCCTGACGGAGCCTTCTAATTCCAAGCATGACCTAAAGTTCTAGATTACCCTGCCCCAAAGGAATCACGCTGGTGAAATGTGAAGGACAGAGGACCTGGAAGTCACAATTAGGACAGCTTCATGGACATGAAGGCTGGTGAGGACATATGCCTCCCGCCATGGGTCTGCCCCAAGCAAGACGCTTGCCTCCTGCAGCCTGGCATGTCCACCCGTCACTCCTCGTGCTGAACTTACTACCACACAGTCAGACTCCACTTCATACAGAGGTCTATCACATGCTCTGCACTTCTGAGGTCTGTCCCATGAAATCAGCAGGGCACAGTGTGTGTTTGCAGGGAGATGGGGCAGTTGAGGTTCTTACATGGAGAAGTTCCTCCACGAGCGAAGGGAGGTGAACAGGATGCTAAGGAAACTGGCGGAGCCTCACAGGCCCGGGTCTGACCCGGGCTTGGCTACTTCTTCAGCTGTACAAGTGGTAAGCTACTCAACCTAAGTCCTCCTTGTCTGTAAAATGGGCTATCGAGAATCCCTCTTGATTCTTTGGTAGGATGAACCGATGTGATCAGAAGTTAGAGAAACACAAGGTAAGTGCTGCCTGGCACTCTTCTACCCGCCCCTCCTCAGACAAGCTGGTCCTTCCTTCAACAAGAGAACATGGCCTTAAGTTTCCTACAAGGGTGGCAAAGGCTGGGCCCTGGTGATCCTCTCTGCCACAGGACCCCTCCCAGTCCTGATATACACGGTGGCACCCTTACCCCTTCCCTGCACCTCCACACGAAAAACTGCAAGGGGCCTCTGGGCTGGAGAGCAGGGTACAGGGGCTGAACACAAGGACCTTTCACTTCTTTGCCAAATTAACAAGTTCTGAAACACGTTAGTGTGTTTTACCTATTTCTCACACAAGCATTTGGACTCCACATCTCCCGAGTCCCTGTCCTGCCTCTACTGCCCTTAGAGACTGAGCTCCCCGTACAGCAGCAGACGTAAGCTCCTCTACTCTGCCCCCAACGGTCTCTCAAATACCTGGCTGCTCACTCTCCTGTCAGAACTAGCGCTGTGGCGCTGGGGCAGTCTGTACCTCTGGCTGCCCTGCTCTCCCCCTACCCTCTGTGCTCATCACAACTGCAGGCCACATCTTCCCTCTCCCGCTCTCTGGCCCAGTCACTTCACATCCTTCCTCACCACTACCCCCCACCCCACCCACACCCCTTGTTGTTGTTTTGAGACAAGGTACTGTCTGTACAATCTATAGCTCAGATTGGCCTTGACCAGCCTATAGCTGAAGATGACTGAACTCATGATCCTCCAGCCTCTCCCTCCCAAATGTTGGGATCACAGGCCTGTGCTACTACTCCTGGCTCCTGCTTTTTACTCCCTTTCCAGTTCTTCCTTTCGTCACCTTTAAGGGTTGCTTGCATAGAATGAGGGGATCCCCTTAAGTTCCCCTCTGCCCCCACACCCAGCACTCTGTCACATTCACCAAGGTTCCCTCTTAAGTCTTCCTCATGTCTGTCACCCATCAGCCCACTGCCTTTGCTGGGACATGAGCATACCTTACCAACCTCAGAGGTCACCCCCCACCAGCCTCCCTCACCTGCCTGTGAATGTGTCCTTTCTAACACTCAAAGGGAAGCACGGGCCACTTTCTTTGTGGATTCTCTTTCTTTCCTAGTAAAGTTTGAGCCCACAGACAGCTTCGTGAGTAACTTTAGGACTGGTCTCCAGAGCTCTAGGCCACCAGTGCTGCCCCAGCACACCTTGAAGCCCTGGTTTCTACATGGAAACATGTCTTCCTTCGGTTAGTTCCAGCTTTACCCTCTAGGCTCAGGCTCCAGAAAAGCTTTCTGGAAACCCCCATGCTGAGTTCCTGAGAGCCCGAGCGACTCTCTCCAAATGCCAAGAGGCTGTCTGCTGCCCGTGCTCACGAGCTGTCAGCCAGGCCATGAGGGTGAGGGGTTTCTTCTCAATCTCTGTAGTTCCAAACTGCTACAGCAGAGTTGGTCCCACTAAAGTACTGGTGTGTGCTAGTTAAACTGGAATACCTACCGGGGAGATGGCCAGTTGTAAGATGGTCCCATTCTTAATGTCATTTCGGGTCTGGGTAGCAAAGAATCAAAGAAAACAAAAAGACAACATTAAAACAGTGCATGGAGGTGACCCTAAGGACTTGTGGTCATTTTAAAAGCGTAACTGATCCGGCAGCAGTACTGCATGCCTTTAATCCCAGCACTTGGGAGGCAGAACCAGGCGGACCTTTGTGAGTTCGAGGCCAGCCAGGTCTACAGAGCGAGTTCCAAAACAGGCACCAAAACTACATGGAGAAACCCTGTCTTGAAAAAACCAAAAAAAAGTGTAACTGACTCTCCTCATCTGCAGATGATTCAACCAGCAGTGAAGGAAGGTTTTCTTTGAATGTCACGGCCTTTCTTCTTGGAGGAGCCCTAAGCATTGCTGGGTAGCAGGCACTTCATGGCCTGCCCATTGCGTGAGGCACGTTCTCTATTGTATTTTAATGTGCAGGGGATGTGCCTAGGTGACAGGCAGCTACCATGCCATCTGTACATGCAGAGTCTGGTGTCCCGGCTTCTAGGGAATACTCCCCATGGGGACTGAGGGACAACTGTAGCCCACTGAGGCTATGCAGCCAGGCCTCCTCCTGCTTGCTCCTTCCAAAGAGATCCTAAGATTCTCCTCAAGAGCTCCGGGTCTCAAGAAGCAAAAGGCACTCAGTCATCGGGGAGCAGGCTGGTGTGCTCCACGCTGTCAAAAGGGCAACTCTTTAACCAGGAAATGAAGCCACCGGCCGGCCAGGAAGCTGGAGAGTGCCATCTCCTTGGCAGGTCCCTTGCAGGCTAAGCTTGCCCTGCCCTTGGTTACTTTGTACTCACCTGCTCGGTGACATAGAGCTGGGGCCCGTCTGCGTAGCGGAGTGTGTAGTACTCCGGGTTTGGCAGTGACCACCTGTGAGAAAGAAAACAGAACACCCTTTGGCTTCTCTTCTGGGCTTGTCTAGAGCAGTAACAAAATGATTTTCAACAGTCGCTCAGGGACCGGCCAGCCTGTCTGGAGCACAGTGGAACCCAAACAAAGCTTTTGGCAGAGCTCCTGAAAGTCCCCCTTCACCATCAGTGACGGTCAGCACCACAGAAGAAGGTGCAGACAGAGGGGTGTGGGTCTCACATACTACCCAGACCTCCCAAAGGGCACTCCTGCGTCCAAGAATAACTGAGACTCTCAGGACGCCCTAGGGACATCCTCATTAGCTGTCTTTCCTTGGTATGACAATGACCCAGCCCAACTGGTCACCCTCTGTACAAGTTCCTCCCGGGCCGGGCAGCCTCCCTCAGCCTTAGCTGTCACTGTGGAAAGGAAGTCATTTCAACCTACCCATCGCACACTTCCTTGATGATGGATGCCAGAGGCCGTTTCTGAAAGAGAGGGGAGGAGATCCTTCACCATATGCTATGTTGCCAGCAGGACCACTCAACTTCTCACGAGCAAGAAGCCTTTCCCAAGCCACAGTGACTACCTTCCCTGGGGAGGTCCAGGCCCAGGGAGCAACTTCCTGTCGCTGCCCTTCCTTAGGAAGCCAGTGGCCTCCGGGGCTTAAACACATCCTCCTCTGTGCACCTGACCCTCCTTACAGCTCTGACTATCACACAGGAGCATACCTGGTCGATTTCAAGGAGCTGGGCGTTAGCACCTGGCCATTCAATGGCCACTTTAACAATATCCGATGGCGGCGGCATTGTTCCTAGTGGGCCCTACTTCAAGACACAGACACAGCTGCCTGGAGAGAGAACCAAACAGAAGCAAAGGTCAGACTGTGCTTCCTCTTCATTCTCGCTGTCCACTTGGGAGGTCTGAAGACGGCATCGAAAGTGACACATGGAACTACGCGGCGTGCAGTTTTGAAGTTCATGCCGCAGCCTCTCCTTGGGCAGCTGTCTCCTTAGATCCAATCAGCCGTAGAAACGGGACAAAGCTCTCTATCATCACAGCTCAGGCAGCAGCAAGGTCTGCCAGTGTGACAGTCAGTGTGAGGGGTCAACAAGACTAGGCGGGAGCAGAGCTCGCTGAGTGTGAATTCCCATCTTGGGGCCTCGGGAGGAGAGAAACATGTGCTCTGGAGCAGAGAGGAAGAGACAGTCTTTTCTTGGTTGAGTGGTTAGCTGAAGGGGCCGGGCCACTTCTGCTCAACAGTCACACTCAGAAGACCCCAGTGTCGGCAGGCCCAGCCTGCTCTCTCCTCCCCACTTGCTGTGGTCACCCCTGCCCCTTCAAAGGACACAGTGTGGAGCCTCCTCCCGTGGGATAACGTGGAGTTGAGAAAATGGAGAAGAGAGCTGAGACAGGAAATGCTATTTTGGTCCCTAGCGCCAAGGGCAAGGGCTGCCAGGAACCTGAGCAGGCAGTAAGGGTGCTCTCACACAAAGACCCCTCTACAGGGCAGGGCTGTGGAAGTGCATCTGAGCCCTGCCCCCACTGCTCTTCAGAATAAAGGGAAATAAATCATCTGGGGCAAGTCTGGGAGATGGGCTCATGTGACTGGTATCCTAGGCAACTCTGGTGGCTTAGTGGTATTCTGGGCAGCACCGAGGCTCTCTCCAAGGTCTGACAAAGGCAGTCACTCTGCTGATGGATTATTTCAATGTATATTTACACTCCTTGCCTACAGGTTCGGGAGAGGGTGCTCTGTTAATGAAAAAGACCTTTTGCCTCCTCAAGGTTCAGCCACTCGCCCGCAGTTCATGCCTGGCTAATGGGGACCGCCTGCCTCTGTTGGCGTGTGTGACACCGCTGTTGCTAAGCTGTTAATCATGTGTGCTATCAATTTTCCAGCCCCAACAGATGCCAGTTCTCACAGCCTGGTGGGCGCAAACCTCTCTAGTGAAAAGGGTTCGCGCAGTGTGTCCTCTACACCCCCAGGCAGGGGAGGAAGCTTACTGGACCGTTTCCTAAGGGGTGGGCTGTGTCAAGAGTCAGCTGTCAAAAACACCAGGGTGTGGAAGTGCGTCCACTTCTGCTTCCCAGCAGCCCTCAGGAAGAGGCAGGACAGTGCTCGCCTTGAAGAGGACAAGAGTGAGGCTTGGTCATGTCCTAGTTGACCCACAAGTGAGTGGGCGGCTGTCCCTGCAGCTCCCGACAGAACCTGATGTGTAGTTTTATGTGCCTAGGTCCACAGACCTCTAAAAGGAAACTGGCCCCGTGAGGCTAACCTCTGGAGGAGGGTGCTGCTCTAGGACAGCAGGGCAGAGCATGCTGTGACCCTGAGAGTAGGCTATCCCTCGGTGTGGTGAGGTACTGCTGTCACCGGAGGCAAGACTCCAGTGGTGAGCCCACTTCTAAGAACTGACATGTAATGTGCATGGGTCTTAAGCATATCTACACCTATGTGCATACATATACAGATTATAAAAACAGAAGCACACACGAGTCTCCCTTAAACCTACCACCCCAGACAATGCACTAGCCCTCCTCCTGGCCCCTGCTGACTTCCCTGCCAAGAAGCTGGGCCTGTTTTTGTGCTTCCTACAAATGGAAGTGGACAATTCAGCTTTCCAGACCATTTGTCAACCTGGGATTTTTCTTTTCAAAGTAAGTGGGGCCTGGGTCGATGGCTCTGTGGGTAGAAGCACATGTGCATGCACATGCACATACAGGGCTCCGTAGGTAGAAGCACATATGCATGCACATGCACATGCACACACAGGGCTCTGTGGGTAGAAGCACATATGCATGCACATGCACATGCACACACAGGGCTCTGTGGGTAGAAGCACATATGCATGCACATGCACACACAGGGAGTAGCAGGCATTCTGAAAAGAGCACCAGGCTGGGACACTGTCCTTGCTGAAGAAAGCAGGTGGACTCAGAGCTCAGAACTGTCATGGCTCCTACAAATCCGTCTTTACCCAAGTCTCTGTCTTCTGTTCTGGAAGCATGAGTGTGTTGGTTCTAAAGTGTCCTGGGTGCCCTTTGCGTTGCCAGTTCATGATTCCAAAGCAGAACATAAAAATGCCCAAATGAGGATGACCTTTCTAAAGGTCTTCAAGGAAGTTAACCCTTATTCTGCCATCGGGAAACACACCATACTCTCTGGACTTCTTCCTGAGCACTCCTTTTGAAGGTGACAAGCTCAGTTGTCGTCACGACTTTGTTTTGGTTCTAAGTGACTTAGTTATCACATCATCAAAGCTGGTCCTGAATGATTCATTTCAAAACTCTACCCATGTTACATAGAGCAGGAGAATCTCCAGCCACCCAGGTCACCCGAGGGAGAGCAACAAGCCTGTCGTCAGCGAATGTCTTCCCCACAGTCAAGCAGACTATTGGCTCTGAGTGACATCCCAGCCGCCACAGCTGAAGGGAAGGAAGAGAACACTCAGCTGCAGTGGAACACATCTGATTCCATCTCTGAACCTGAAAGACACTGACTAAAGAGAGAGGCTGGGGGTAACAGACAGGAGAGCAGTAAACTTATGGCTTCAGGGCGAGCATCAGGGCAAGCCAGAGCTACTCACAAACCAAAGCCATAGAAAGGCCATGAGCCCAAAGGAAGCCATCCTACACAGCGGACATGAGGCCATAGGAAAGCCATGAGCCTCGCAAAGGAAGCCATGCTACACAGCGGACGTGAGGCCATAGGAAAGCCATGAGCCCAAAGGAAGCCATCCTACACAGCGGATGTGAGGCCATAAACCAGCAATGAGAAAAATCCCAAGAGACGGGCAAAGCCTGACCACTTTCCAGATGCCGCGGTGACACTTCCTAAACAAAATGTCCCTGGGGACAGCCCTTTACACTAGCCGGCAATGCTGTTCGCTGCAAGGGAAAAGTCCAAGACCAAGACTGGCCCAAGCTGGAAGAAACTACAATGGAGGCCAAAACAGACAGTGGTGTCATGGCGTGAGGTGACGGATGTGCCCAGTGGGCACTTAGCTAACACTGGCTAAATTCATGAGCAAAACCCACTTAGGGAGGACTGATGTGCTTACAGCAGCCCGCTCACAGGGTGACTCCGGGGTCCTCAGACATGATGCTCATGTACAGACAGCCAATAACTCATTGCTTCTGTGTCATTTTATAGCTGATGCCTCAGGAACCCTGAAAACATTCTCTTTTTTTATCGGAAAGGCGGTCAAAGTTCAGAGAAACTCATCCTCCATCCTACTCATCCGACTGGAAGGGAGGGAGGGAGGAAGGGAGGGACGCCGGAGGGAGGAGCAAGAGAGAAGTGAGTACATCGGAACTGGGTCACAATGATGTCCAAGTTCTCTGTCTTCCCTCCACACTGTCCTCCCTCTGATGAGGATAACATGAGCTAACAGTTACACAGTGCGAGACCCCACTGGAAGCTACTTCCCTCCGCCTCCTTCACTGAGCACTGAGGTTCTAAGCCAGGGCTCTGAGCTTGCTAGGAGAGGGCTCTGCATCCCCAGCCCTATCTTAATCTTATTTGATTTGATTTGAAGACAGGGTGGTCTCCTAAAGTTGCCTAGGCCTAACTTGTGATCCTCCTGTTGCCTGGGCCACTTGGACCACACAGCCAACCTGTAGGGGTGTGCTTTCTATACACGGGGAAGTCAGGGCATCCTCAGTCACCTTGAATCACTTGGTCACCAGGTGGTCAAGTGTTAGAAACCCGTATCAAAGAAGGCGGCCTGTATGTGACCATCACAGTTACTCAGTGGAGACTTCAGGTCCACGCACCGAAAGAAAAGCCAGAGATGCTCAGAGACCTGTCCAACAGAAAATGGCCTTCCATGGTCTACAGAAGGCTGCCACACTGCCACAGGCGGTGCTCCACACTCCCACAGGCGGTGCTCAGGCCAGTCTAGGCAGACCCTTCCTGGTTGTTGGTGGCCAAGCTCCCTCATTTCTCCTGTACCTTTGCAAATTCCCTTCTACTAGCTGTCAGAGAGCTCCTATTCAAGCTTCAAAGCCCAGTTCGGACATCACCTCCCCTTTGTTCCATTCTCCCATGTGCATGTACTGTTCCCACATTGTGTCACCACAAACTTCTTCACTGGCTCCTCCTGCAGAAAAAGACCTCTGTACACGGAAACCCATGGCTCTGGCTTCTTCCACTCCTACAAACCAGAGCCAGCTCCCAACAGACAGGAGGCAGGAACTGTTCCCATCAAGTCCGGAAGCCTTGCAACACTGTATCCTCACACAATTCGGCCTTGCAACACTGTATCCTCACACAATTCGTTTTCAGAACTCAGAACAAGCCTTACAGGTGAATCAAGTTGGGGGAAAACAATCTTTTCTTCCCCTTAGAACCAGGAGGAGGGAGAAGGGAGGATTTCCCAGACAAAGAGCACTCAGGGATGAAGGATTTCCTTGCAGGGAAGCCCTCTAGCACGTGCCTGCTTACTCTCTTCATTTTCATTTTAGAAAGGAAGTGGGAAATTAGGTCGAAGCAATTCAATAACATTGCAAAATCCTCAGGGCTATAAATAGCTACTTGCTCCACCACTCACAGTACTGCGTGCAGTTCAATAGCAATCGTCCAGCACGAGAGCACTGGAGTCCCACTCCCAGCCCACAGCCCTTGCTGGCCCGGATGACCCTCCACCCTTCCCCCTCCCCTGCTTTCTTTATTCACTACCTCAGGGATGCTACACAAGCCTCTGGGACTGAGCAAGATCCCAGTCCCCTGCAGCTGCCTTGAAGGCACCACAAATACAGAAATGATGGAGCAAACAGAAGAGGGTTCCACACAGATCCCAGAGCCCTGGGAGGACAGGACCAGTGCTGGCCTCCAACGACACAGTCAGT